TAATGCATCACAAATTACTAGTATTTTTTTTAATAAAATATAATAACAAATGGAATAATAATAGCACTTGAAATAGGATGATTTGTAAAAGAAAAGTAACTCAAGCACTGGAAATGTGGCCATTTAGATGAGCCAGTTCATTTTGCTACGATACGGTGTGGTGCGGAATCATTTAGCTATTGGGTGTTTTATATGATTACTAATTTAATGTTCCGCTGGTGGTGGAACAATATCACTGTTCGTGGTTTGACCGCGATTGCCAAGTTCTAATTAAAAGAGTTGGTACTAGGCCTTATGATCAAAGATACATTATTAACATTATAGAAAGCTGTAAACAAACGCTATTTACAGTGGATATAATTGCATTACGAGAATTTAATTTATTAATTCATCGGGCATGGGTGACTGTTTAACGTTCGAGAATGGAAAAGGGCGAGCTCTCAGTTGCAAATGCATTGAATGCACTGACATCTGCAGTTTTTAGAAAAAAGCAAGTTAAAGGTGTCGGTATGTTCTAAAACAATATCACACAGCAACCATGCCATTAAATCTTTCGTTATTTTGTCGTTTAATATTAATATTTTCTTCTTTAGGTTTTCAAGGGTGCTGATAACGAAAATCGTAGTAAATGCGCTCTTTTCATAGTAAAACATCCACAACACATGCGGCATATTCACATTTCCTATGATAGCGTTATAATTTAGAACAGTGTATACATTAGTAGTCTAAGTATGTATATTATAACTTTGGTGAGATTAACTTCAGTTCAGTTAATCTCATCAATTATTTAGCACCTTGGTGCCACTGGTCAGAAGATTAAAGTTGTTGATTGGGTAATCAAGTTTAGTAGCCTATCTTAATCATCAAAGAAGCCGCCAAAGCAGCATGCCTGAATTAAGATTTTGCGTGTACAATAAGTCTATTGTTATTTTAAGCCCGAGGTACCGTAACGGTATCAAAATGTGAGTCCATAATAGAATAGAAATTTCATTGGCATGAAATGCTTACGTTCATTTTGGAAGCGGTGTAATTAAACAGTGGCAGATTATTTTTCCCACTCGATAATAATCGTCGCGTTTCGACTCATTGGTCGTTCTCATTTTCCCGACCCATGGTGATAATAGAATTTTAAACAATAATAATATCCAATATGCATTCTTAACTTTGCATGCCGTATGAAGCGACAGTAAACAGAATTCACCTATCAATAAAATTCTCTTCGGAAAGAAAATTATTCACTATTTTGTTTATTTCCATTTAAGGACTATAAATTATTTTCTAACAGACCAAACGAGACATTAAATCATCGCCGCTTTGATTAGTTATTCGGAGTAAATAATGAATTGTCGGTGGCCTTATCATTGTTAATTATCAATCAACTAATCATTAATCCGTGAAAAGTGATTACAGATTAGTATTACTCAATGATACGAACGGCTTGTTGATTGATTTACAATACATTTACAATGTATATATATATCTATATACGATCAGAATTAAGTTGTTGGTATCCAAGGAGCTTTTTATTTTGTGTTTTTAACAGTTTTCAAGCGTAAATAATTTAATTAAATCAACCTGTCCATAATATCATATTCATTGTTTTGAACGTTAAATCTTTAATAAACAACAACAACAGTTGTTTTATGCCACTTCTCAGAGTGAATCGCATGTAGATACACCATAACATTGCCCAAATCTAATTTCTATCGTCTGCTTGAGCCTCGATCGGCCATGGAACCACAATGCTTTGCAGGCGTCGTCTGGGCCAATCAGCAAACGAGTCGTGTTGGAAGCATAGCAATAAGCGGAGTATGTTTACATTTTTAGGAGTTTTAAAACCCTTTTGTATTTCTTCAAAATGAATTCATCGGCAATACTTTGGTCATATTTATAAACTAGAAATTCTCCGCTTTACACCGATGCCAAGCATTTTGCAAGAGGATTGACAGGTTAGCCCGCTGCGAGCAGAGAAAAATATCTAATTCCGCTGAGAATATTCAGAAAAAGACAGATTTAAGAATACGGTACTCTTACAAAACGTCCAAATAAAGACGTTTTAAAATGTTTTATTGCTATTTTGATCTTTTGAGTCAATAGATAGTTTATTTATAGACTCATTTTTGTGAAAATCTCAATTTCGATCAAAATCAATATTTTCGCTTATTTTGTCTCTTGTGCAAAATTAATTTTGCCGCATTCCGACTTAATAACATGCAGTGGGTCACATATATAATTATCAAGGCATGTAGATATTTGATTGTATAGCTAGATAAATACAGTTTAGCCTACATAGAAACTGGGTCCAATTTTCTAGTGGGTTGAGTAACATTGATTTATTGCTCAATTGACCTACATCCCAGCACTATGGTGGCCCATGGTCGCAATAGCGTTTTTGGGGTTATTTTTTGTATTTCATTTAAAATCATGAAAAATAAAAGTAAAAAAAAAGAAACATTTTTTTTTTCTTTTGTTTTACAATATAAAAAATAATCTTTTTAAAATTTAAGAAAAAAAAAATCTTTTTAAATTAAAAAGAAAAAAAAAATCTTTTTAAATTAAAAAGAAAAAAAAATCTTTTTAAATTAAAAAGAAAAAAAATCTTTTTAAAATTTAAGAAAAAAAAAAAATCTTTTTAAAATAAAAAAAAATCTATATAAAAAAAATTAATAAAATATTTAAGATTAAAAAAATCTATAAAAAAAATAACATTTTAATTAAAAAAAAAAAAATTAGTGAAATAGAAAAAATCAAAAAAAGAATTCTGCACGTGGTCCATCGTCGTAATAGTGTCTTGATTATCCAGACTCAGTATAAAATCGGCCTACGACAGCTATCATTCGACTCGAGTGACCAGAATTACCTCGTGGCCCATTGTTGCTATAGTGTCTCGATTATCCTATGTGGCATAACTCGAGCGACAAGAAACGAGTTTGTAGTTATCTCCCCTTCCGAAAGGAAAAAGGTAAACAGACATCAACACGTGAAACACAATTTTTCCACCCATGACGTCTATGGATTTGGATATATGTATTTATACATATGCAAGTCAATAGAAATGTATAATTAATAGACTATAGAAGCCAAGCGTCATTTAGACTAGTTTATCCAGTCTAACTAGAACTAGGCCTACATACATAATGACATTTGAAGTCATTGACTTTAATGACACCATTCGGCCTACTAGTGCGCAAGGCCTATTCTCCCCTCAAAAGGCTTATGTAATGTTTTTCTAAAACACTTGGTCTCCCTGAGGTCGAATTTCAAAAGTAGTTAACAACTTTGAAACTAATCCTCGAAGTATAGGCCTACTACTACTAAGTAGCCGGGGGGGGGGGGGGGGGAATGGTTAGCACGTGCGCGCTGTATCATAAAGCCTGTCATATCATAAAGCCCGTCATTGAGTCAACTGGCGTGATTTCGAATCCCCGGTTGTACTTGACAAGGAGTAGGGTGACCTGTCAAACATCGTGGGTCTGTCGTTCATATTATCCTGTGTGGGATCTATTAGGAACGTATGGTATAGACTCGAGCGACAAGAAACCAGTCTCTATAGTTACCTCACATCAAGGCACACGTAATTTTAACTAAAATCTATTAAAATTAAATTTTAAGTTACAATCGATCTTCGTGAAACACATAAATTTAAAATTTCACTTTGATTTTAAAATCTATGTTAGTGATTTTAGCTTCAGTTTTTGTGAAACCCCTGCTCTCCCTGAGGTCATCGCTAGTCCCCCGCTACGACCACAGGAACGGGTAAGAGGTGCGAAAGTGCGATGGCGGACAACATCAATTTCAAATACAAAATAGAGCATGATAGCCTACGTGGACTTCGTCTGGGGCCTGTTTTACTAAGATAAAATTCAAATTTTAGTATTTGATTGGATAATAGACAATATTAGATTTATTTTAGTGCTTAGCTAATCAAAATTGAAGTATCTACAATTATGTTGACGTGAGATAACTACAGACTCGTTTCTTGTCGTTCGAGTTTATACGTTCTTCATAGATCCCACACATAATAATCGAGATACTACTGCAACAATGGGCCACAAAATGTTTCTGGTCGCTCTAGTCTAATGATAGCTGTATACTGGGTCTGGATACTCAAGACACTATTGCGACGATGGGCCACGTCTGGAATTATTTTTTATCTTTTCTTTTTCAATTTTTTTTTTTTTTCATTTAATTTTTTTTTTTAATATTATTTCTTTTTTATTTTTTTTAAAATATATTTTATTTTTTTTTATATAGATTTTTTTTTCATTTTAAAAAGATTTTTTTTTTTTTAAATTTTAAAAAGATTTTTTTTAAAAAAAATTTTAAAAAGATTTTTTTTTTTAAATTTTTTAGAAAGAGGTTTTTAAAAAAAAAAAAAAAAAAAAGTTTCTTTTTTTTTTTGTACTAATATTTTTATTATTTCAACCCTTTCTGAGCTAATCCCGACGATTGTCGGGATAATTTTATAGTCTGTCAGAGCGGCATCCGACGATAGTCGGGAACTTTATTTAATTTGGTTTACTACCCTAAAAGCATGGTTTTAACCTTAGATGGTGTATAACACGAGTTTTTATTACGAGGGGGTTTCCCCTATTGACGGAACAACCATCAATAGTCAGAACAGCCGAGGAATGGCGTCCTTCACAACAAAAAGACTTCGGCTGAATCCCGATGCCGATGACGTCACGTCTATATTGGATTCGGGTAGTGACTATACTATTAGTGGGGACTCTTCTTTTGATGAAAATTCAGAGGTTTGTCACAACTTTATTTAATTTGGTTTACTACCCTAAAAGCATGGTTTTAACCTTAGATGGTGTATAACACGAGTTTTTATTACGAGGGGGTTTCCCCTATTGACGGAACAACCATCAATAGTCAGAACAGCCAAGGAATGGCGTCCTTCACAACAAAAAGACTTCGGCTGAATCCCGATGCCGATGACGTCACGTCTATATTGGATTCGGGTAGTGACTATACTATTAGTGGGGACTCTTCTTTTGATGAAAATTCAGAGGTTTGTCACAAAGTAAAGACACAAAAAAAAGGAAGACTTCTCCGGAGGAAATTATTCGTCTGCTTTTATACAGTCGCGCACGTAGATCCCTGCCGATATAAACGTATACGATATGGTCAAATTGGTTACCATGGCAACACTAATGTGAATATTTCGGTATATATTATTGTTATTTTCCAAATATTTAAATTATTTTTATTTTATTGTTAATAAAAACTTGTTACTGATGATTTTATATTTGTATTGTCTACCACAAAATTGTCAATACTGCTCGTTTATATTTCATTATTTTTAGAAAAAAACCATTATTATCACAATTTAGTGACTTTTCCCCAAAAACCTATACTATTCTTACAAAAGAGATATCTATCATGGTAATAATCCATATAGCTTTATTCCTGACCATCTTGAATTTTTTAATGACAAAAAATTATCCAATATTTCATTTATGACAATAATATGGCAGCCATTTTGAAACCCACTGGTAACCATAGTAACCATAAAATCTAAACTAAAAATATGCAAAAATCCCAAGTCATATATAATGGATATACATTTGCAATTTTACAGTTGTAGTCGCATTCATATTCCAGGTATGAATGATTTTTCACAACAGGGTCTAAAGCTTGATTTTTACTCAATATTTGCATAGCCCTGTATGGGTGTAAAGTGGTAAGCTCAGGAAGGGTTAAATGAAATACCAAAAATAACCCAAAAAACGCTATTGCGACCATGGGCCACCATACAGCACAGTAACTATATAGATATTACTGTGATAAATATATTCCTTATAAGATCAAAATACATACATTCATGGTGTACTGGAGTATCGGTTGTTCCATTTTTGACTGTCTTTTCTCGATTTTTTTAAGTTGTTCTACTGTTCTCTTTTCTCGTCTGGTTGACTGACTGACTTGTTCAAACTTGTTGGTGAGAAACTCTTTGCCTTATAGTTATTCTACATCTATTATAAGCACGCTTTTTCTATACCATAATAATTTAAAGTAGACACAATCACACCAGTTGCATAAATACTTCAATACAACTAAAGAAGACTCTTTTATCCAGAAAAACTATGGTGGACCGTTTTGAACATTACACAGAATATGATCTCTCTTTCCTAGAAACAGAGCCCACTATTTATTTAAGACATTTCTAAACATTTATCAGTATGAAGCTGATCATATTTTGTGCAATTGATACTGTTAAAAAAATGTTCACATGTGTATATTTATTCTGAAATTGTTGATGTAATTGGCCTTAAAATTAATATGTAACAGGCATTGCCTGAGTAGAGCGAAGCTGATTATTGTCAAATATAAAACCTTCATAATTAATTTTCTCAAGTGATACAAAAAATGTTAAATAATTTAGTTTTTCCAAATTGATTTTCAATTAGATCTAAATTGTATACATTAATTTTGTTTTTTAAAAAAGAACAAAAAAGTGTGAGAATTATTTTCATTGACGTCAAAAATATGTGACGTCAGTGATTAGACGCGTCATAGAAATAGTTCTATGAGGCGCGTAATCTCGCTTTGGCGAGATTTGGTAAGTTGACATGCGCATTGCCTGTTTTGCCCAGTGTATCCGGTTCCGGTCTGAATTTTTTTTTAATCAACAGTCTGTGGGTGACAATTTCAGTTACGCTCCTGTGTTACCGGAAAAGAGCTTTGCTCAAGCACCGTGCTTTGCGCGATGCTGTAGAGCTTCGCTCTATATTAGTAGTATTTATAGGTTAATGACATCATTCAGCAAATGTCATTAAGACCTTTCATGTCTTTTGGAATTCAAAATTTAATTTCTAAAAACAGTCAATAAATGCTTCTAGGAGATACACTAATTTATATCCTCATAAACTAAAACATGATCTATTCATGAAATTGTCTTATTATGTACATAATAATAGGGGTCTCACAATAAGACATTTTTTTTCCAAATCATTTCAGGCCAGCAATTTCCAGAGGCGAAATTGCTAGCTGAACACGATTTTTAGAATTTTTTTTTTATTTATGACGTCATTTTCGGTTGGGGTTTGTCTGATTTCCAAAATGGCCGCTAAAAGTTGACGTAAAATGAATTTCCAGATAGGATGGGTGATTTTCATGCAAGGTATGGCTTGTAATATATCATATATAAGGTTTTTGTTGTAATTGAACTGAAAAATAATCTCTAAAACTAGTTTCCCCAAATCCAAGATTGCGGAAATTCAAAATGGCGGCTAAAATTTACCTAAAATGGCCGATTTGTCAGATTAAAGTCATTTCAAAGTTTGATTTGGTTTGTAATATGTAATCTAAAGGGTTTTCACTGTCACTGAACTTAAAATTAATCTAAAGAAAAAAAGTTTTCAAAATCCAAGATGGCGGAAATTCAAAATGTCGACCAAAATTTATCTAAAATGGCCGATTTGTCAGATAAAAGTCATTTCACTCTTTGATATGGTTTGTAATACGTAATTTAAAGGGTTTTGAATGTCATTGAACTTAAAATCAATCTAAAATAGAGTTTCCAAAATCCAAGATGGCGGAAATTAAAAAATGGCGGCCAGATTTTCTCTAAATTGGTCAATTTTTAAGATAATCGTCAATTTTCTGTTTGATATGGCTTGTAATATGTCCTCTATTAAGTTTTCAGAGTCACTGAATTTGATAATTGTAGATGATTGTTTCAGAAAAAAAAGGGACAATCACCAATCTTTCTATTGGATTGGTTTATAATAGCAAATTGTAATAGTTTTTTTAGGGCAACTGAATTTGATCTGACCCAGGAATCTACCTTAATCTAAAGAAAAAAAGAGTTTTCAAAATCCAAGATGGCGGAAATTCAAAATGTCAACCAAAATTTATCTAAAATGGCCGATTTGTCAGATAAAAGTCATTTCACTCTTTGATATGGTTTGTAACACGTAATTTAAAGGGTTTTCAATGTCATTGAACTTAAAATCAATCTAAAATAGAGTTTCCAAAATCCAAGATGGCGGAAATTAAAAAAATGGCGGCCAGATTTTCTCTAAATTGATCAATTTTTAAGATAATCGTCAATTTTCTGTTTTGATATGGCTTGTAATATGTCCTCTATTAAGTTTTCAGAGTCACTGAATTTGATAGGGGGGTTGGATGGCTGAATGGTTAGCATGCGCGTGCTGTATCATAAAGTCTGTCATTGAGTCGACTGGCGTGATTTTGAATCCCCGGTTGTACGTGGCAAGGATTAGGGTCGCCTGTCCAACCTCGTGGGTTTTCTCCGGGTCCTCTGGTTTCCTCCCACTGCTAAAGACCCCTACGCACAAGCCAATTATGTAAATAAAATTAAACCATATGTTAGTCCCGAAATGACCTAGTTTGTGCCGAGTGGACGTTAAACCCCATTTCTCTCTCTTTCTCTCTGAATTTGATAATTGAAGATGATTGTTTCAGAAAAAAAAGGGACAATCATCAATCTTTCTCTTGGATTGGTTTATAATAGCAAATTGTAATACTTTTTTAAGGGCAACTTAATTTGACCTGACCCAGGAATCTACCTGTCAATAAATAAACCATGTGCAGAACTTACCAGTCAGCTAATTAGAATTTCAAAGAATTTAACCTTAAGACACAATAAATGTAGCTTAATTGTTTTTATGCATAAAACCCCCATAACAATACAACGGGGCCAACTGACGCATTTTTAATTTCATCTCCTTTGTCTTTGCACCATTTTACCGGAGTGAGAATCATTTGTGGTATATCCAGTCATTAAGAATTTAAGTTCTCCTATTCGTTCAGAAATGGTAATGTGGTCCGTTTTTGCATCGAAGACTCCGTGTCCAGTAACTTTTGTGGTATAGTCTAGATGTTGTATCCACAGGTCATTTTCGTCAGTTACGTATTTCACAACAAGTTCTACATGTAAGAACAACACATAAGAAAAGAGGAAATCGTGGGGGATGACTTTTGGGATACCTAGTCGTAAATGCATTTCCAATTATTTTCGTGATGATTATTTTTAACTTAGAACTTGGTGTGCATTACATTACAGACGAATATGATCTGTGGATACCATACCACACAAGTTGCGGACACAGAGACTTCGATGATTCATTTTACACTTTTCACTTTATGAAATACATGACTGACAAATATGAATTCATCTGTCTAGATGATACCACAAACGGTTTCCGGACATAAGTCTTCTGAACAAAAGTTAATAAATATTGATATTCGTCAAGCAGTGTGCTATGAGGAAAATTGGCCCAGACAGTGGTACTATGGTGTACTCTTATTTCGAATTCCAACTGTCTAGGGTTCTTGTATGCGCACGTCAACGTGTACATATAAACCTGGTTTCTCGAGAAGCCCCCGGTGCTGCATCCTGACAAGGAGAAACCACACTGGAAAATCCTAAGGTACTTTTTCAGCAAACATAGGGATCGAACCCCAGATCTCGTTCTTAGCGAGTCTTACTCACTGAACCACTATTTCGAACCATTTCTGAATAAACAATAGATAAATTCTTAACAACTGGATATATATACCTCACTGTTTTGCTGGAATAATATTAAATCTTGTTTATGTGAGATCCAGTATAACAGTTCCAGTTACCATCAAAATAACTACTACTCTTTGCTATTACAAGCCAATCCCATAGGAAAATTCACGATTGTCCTGTTGTATTTTTAACCAATCATCTACCATCTTCAAAATTCATTTTTGATGTAATATTCATTTTCAAAATTCATTTTTGAGGTAATATTCATTTTCAAAATTCATTTTTGAGGTTATTTTCAAGTTCGTGGACTTTGAAAACCTAATAAAGGACATTATTACAAGCCATACAAAACCGAAAAAATGACGATTATCTGAAAAATCGTTCATTTTAGGAAATTCTGGTCGCCATTTTGGATTTTGGAAACTCTTCTTTTGAGGTTGTTGAGTGACACAGAAAACCCTTTAAATCGCATATCACTCGCCATATCAAACTTAAAAATGACGATTATCCGAAAAATCGACCATTTTAAGGAAATTCTGGCCGCCATTTTGAATTTCCACCATCTTGGATTTTGGAACCCCGTTATATTTAGATTAATTTTAAGTTTAGTGACACTGAAAATCCTTTAAATTACATATTATAAATCATATCAAAGAGTGAAATGACTTTTATCTGACAAATCAGCCATTTTATATTTTTGTATTTATTGATGTCAGTAAGATGTTACTATGGAGAACGTAAATTTCAGATTATACATTCCAGACTTCGTAATTGTAAAAGTGCTCTAAACTTCCATAGATTTTTAATGCATATTTTACATAACCCGACATGCAGTTGTGGTCATACTCAAGAAGACAGCGACCATTATTTTCTGCACTGCCCAAATTATTCGTCTCAGCGTATCTCAACATTAAATACCCTCCCATTTAAATCCATAAATACAAAAGCGTTCCTATATGGCGATACCAACGAAAGTAACCCGTTCAACAAAGTGAGTTTTAGTAAAGTTCACAAGTATTTAAAACTAAACAAGCGCTTTGAATAGATAAGGTAATTGTCAGGCGACGATGATTGGTGTTAAATAGTGATGATGACCATGATGATGACCATGATGATGATTTATTTATATATTTATTTATATACTAGAAGAATGCCCGGCTTCGCTCGGGGGTCATAACTCCGAAACCGGAAGTGGTAGACTAACGCCACCTGGCCTATGTTACTCCCCGGTATGAGCTACCCCTATACCCCAAATTTCAGACTCGGAAATGACAACGTGAATGATGGATCAGTCGAACGACAGAGTGAATGACAGGAGTTTTCCAGTCGAATAATAAAGATAATGGCAACGCTGGTCATAGCATATCTGTTTATAATATATTTCATATAAATGTTTATACACGTATTTGAAAAATACATTTAGGTCTACGTGTAATGTTGAATGTATAAATTCGGAAATGTTTTGATCTCTTGAACTGTATTATTTAAAATACACGATAAACGTATTAAATTGTAAATAATGAATCAAGCCAAGACATGTATTAAATGTTTTAAATGTTTTATTGAATTGGAATAGAAACTGAAAACAGATTAACACCCTGTGTGAGATATTTCATTCAAATATTGTGAAAGGGTTGGTAATAAAATTAAAATTGTCATTGTGTCATTTTAGTAACATTGAATCGTCCTATTCTGTTACGTAGTCGTCTCAACATATTGTTGTCATGGGTTACTTCTGCTAAACAACTCAATAGAAACGAGTAAATTATTATAAACGAAATTATGTCTAAAGAGTTCTTCATGACATGTATTGACTGTAAGACACAAAGCGTACAGGATCTAAGTGTGATGTTAAAGGTCAACACGTAACTAGTGAACTGATATATATTGTACAATTTATCTAAAGAGTACATTTATGAAAACGTGGTACTTTTCTGATATCTAGTTAAATTAACACTTACCCAGATCTTGGCATAAGCATGACTTAAAATGATCACGGCTAAAACACTTCCGTGCGAATCAAGAATTCTTTATGTAAGAATAGAGCTTTATAAGACCGTAAATGCACCACACATTATGTCTCCATAAGATGGTAGCTATATCAAACTTAAAAATGACGATTATCCGAAAAATCGACCATTTTAGGGAAATTCTGGCCGCCATTTTAAATTTCCGCCATCTTGGATTTTGGAACCCCGTTATATTTAGATTAATTTTAAGTTTAGTGACACTGAAAATCCTTTAAATTACATATTATAAATCATATCAAAGAGTGAAATGACTTTTATCTGACAAATCAGCCATTTTAGGTAAATTTTGGCCGCCATTTTGAATTTCCGCCATCTTGGATTTGGGGAAACTAGTTTTAGAGATTATTTTTTCAGTTCAATTACTAAAAAACCTTATATATGATATATTACAAGCCATACCATGCGTGATAATCACCCATACTATCTGGAAAATTAATTTTTCGTCAAATTCTGGCGGCCATTTTGGAAATCAGAAAAACCCCAACCGAAAATGACGTCACAGAAGTAAAATAATCTCATAATCGTCTTCAGTGACAAATTTTGCCTCAGAAACAACCCGACCCCAAATTTTGTTCCGATTGTGACACCCCTAATAATAAACATCAAGTCATGATGACCCTTACATAATGACACTAAATACCACCCTTGTTAGGTCATAGTTATTTATATGGAGGGGTTGGATGGCCGAATGGTTAGCAAGCGCACGCTGTACCATAAGGTCTGTCATTGGTGTGGTTTCGATTCCCCGGTTGTACATGACAAGGAGTAGGGTTGCCTGCCCAACCTCGTGGGTTTTCTCCGGGTCCTCCGGTTTCCTACCACTGCTAAAGATCCCTATCCGCAAGCGAATTATTGAAATAAAATTGAACCATATGTTAGTCCCGAAATTACCAAGTTTGTGTTGAGTGGACGTTAAACCCCATTTCTCTCTCTCTATTTATATGTCTACATCCTATGATGTCTATGCTGTTTTCGGCCATTTATTATTTAATTAAAATGTTTAAGACTGAAATAGGAAACCCAAACCCAACGCCTAGCCTTCTTTTCCTCTTGTCATAATACATTGATTTAAGGTGATAAAAACTGTGAAAGTTTTTGTTCGTCTCCATTAGTTTTTCTGCAATATTCTGCTATACACTGGTTGATTGGGCATAATAAAATTGTGAGTCATGACGTAATGTTATTTAACATCGTTACGCAGTTAGCTATTGATTGTTAATCGGACTATTGACAAGTCATAATTTGGAACATAAATTTTTTTTCCATTAAAGCAGTGTTTAGTTGGATTAGCTCTAATCAAACGATACACTGCTGGAGAGTATGCAACTAACTGAGATATAGCCACAGAGTTGATAACATGCACAGAAGACTTTGTTGCTGGTGAGATAAAAAGCTCCTGACAAGGTCCTACAAAGTGTCTAATGTCAAGTATGGTTAACTGTGATGGATTACATCTGGGACTGTACTTTTGTTCTGTAACAGCCACTATAAGTTATTGTTTTGTAATATATGCATAAATAAGGTCTAGCAGGAACAGAAGTTTATAATTGACATACTGTTTTTTGTTTTGTAGAATCAGACACAGGTATCAACATCGTTACAGGTGTTCCACAATCTGGGTTGTTTACATCAAGTTGTTGAGAAGGTTGTTAATGGATGTAAAGAAGTTTTACATTCAAACATCAGAAATTGTCTAGATGCTAAATCTATTTCTACTTCACAATCTTCTAAAGGTAAATAATCACTTTAAATTACAGTTCTTGGTTACACAAGTTTGGTGGACTGGATTCTCTTGAAAATTGCCAAATAAATATACAAAAATATGATGTTAATGCATACATGTAAGTTCTCATCCAAAAAATGAATTTGGGTAAATGTGTTCAAGCACTACCCTTAAAGATACATTCCCAGGCAAGTATTTTTATGGTAGTTATTTCCACTAAAAGGATGGCATATTTGGTGTGTATGGAAAGTAGATACTATCAATCTTACCGGCAAAGTCCTGGATACCCTAAAAAACATGCATGTGACGTGACACCTACGGGACAAAAATGTAAGGATATCGCAAACTGGCAGCCTGTCTCCTTGATTGACATAAGGAGTGCTTCTTATACATTGATCTAATGACTAACGGTTGTGAGAACGCGGAAGGACTTAAACACCTGGTAGACTAAACAGGGCAAAAAGGAGTTGGCAGAGGATAATCAAAGGATTTACATAGGTTTCAATATCTATGGTTAATTGAAAAATGGCTAACAGTAAATACACACTAAAAATGATAATCTAAGAATTTACATAGGTTTCAATATCTATGGTTAATTGAAAACGATCAACAGCAAATACACACTAAAAATGATAATCTAAGAATTTACATAGGTTTAGATGTCTATGGTTAATTGAAAATGGCCCGCAGTAAATACACCCTAAAAATCGATTCTCCCTCAATCAAGTCATGTGATAAAAAAGGCTTCTTAAAAAGGGGGAGCTTTCTTGCAACGGACATGTTTGAGCAAGATATGAAGCAAACTTTTGATATATGAATTAGTTTGAATATGTTTTCAGTCCAAATATATCCTCAAATCACACAGGATTTCTAGACAGGAAGACATCATCTTTAATTAATGAATTTGTTATGAATTCATTGTATGAATTGTCACAATATAAATATGGATACATCGTCTCTTTTATCACTTGTAAGTACTGTAGTCACAACAACTAGGGAAACTGATACCATCTGGTTTTCTGAATTAGAGAACCATACATTAGTTGGACATGGACCAGGCTATAGATCTCTTGTTCCATGAAATAAAAAACCTAGTCCATCTCTATAACATGTATAAATATTTAGATACTTCATCTGATTATACTAAAGAAATAGTATTATTTATTTGCAGGGGGGCCAGGAAGAGCAGCTATGCCTACACCAGGTAATACAGCAGCTTTTAGAGCCATGCTCTGGACAAACATGGAAAAACTCATGGATAATATTTATGCTTCTTGTGCACAGGTATGATTCTTTTTGTTACAGATTATTAGAAATTGATCATTCTAACTTTTTTTTTTGTGACAAGTTATTGGGAATTCATAATTCTAACTTTTCTTTTTATAAAAAATTATTGAGAGTTGATGATTCTAACTTTTCTTTTCATCACAGATTATTAGGAGTTGATGATTATAAGTTTTCGTTCAGGGCAGATTATAGGGAATTGATAATTTTAACTTTACTTTTCTAAACTAAAATATGTTATTCATCATTTGAAGGATTTTGAATCTCTTGCAAACTACAATATTATGAAATTTGAATCTAACAAAGGAAAATAAGTTGTAAAATGGTTCAATTCCATTCCGTATTTACATTTACATGGACATAATGAATTAAAAATTTCACTACATTTAGCATCCTTTGCAGTTATTATAAACAAGCCACTGCCACCTATAAGAGTTGGGTAACATCTTTTGATCTGATCGAGATCCAAGCCGAGAGTTATCTAGCATTTTTTCTTTGTTTTCTTAATTAAATGTTGAATAATCAATTTGAGTACATTTTAGCTTGAATAAACGCCTTGAAAAATTAAATGTTGTCCAAAAAATTGCATGCTTGTGATGAGGTGATTTTAAAATAACCATATCCTTTCTCATTTGTTTAATACAGAAGATACTTCAACTAATCAGTTTCCATGACCAGTTGTTGATCCACACTCACCCATATTTTTTTTATTCTCTGTATATATCCCAGTTTAGAATTATGAATGGTAAATAAACAAACAAATCAACAAAAATATTTGAGTTTCACAATTTCAGAATACAGAATTTAGTTTACAGTTATACAATGTGTTAAGCTTTTTAGAATGACCATATTATTGTTTTGATTAAACATACATTATGCAAGAGCAAAATCTGATTATTGCAAGTCCTAATTTAGGCTTCAGATGTTATAGAAATTATAAATTAGATCTTTATTTAAACAACAAGCCCAAAATGAACTCTGTAGACCCACTGATGGCTCGGCTACAGCTCGGATTTAAATAGGATTTCACTCATTGATAAATTCAAATATGGCGCACCCTGATGAGAATACGTCAGTTAGATCGAGGCTAAATGATAGAGTGTACTTAGCGAGGCCGCTGTAGAGCGTTTCCGCATGCCATTGAAAACTTTACTTGATAATCGAGATATGTAGGTGGAAAATATCAAAAATAGAGGATCCCCGGCAACAAACTTCACAACACTGTGTAGATGGTTTAAAAAATTATAATCCAGACCTAGATTATAATTTTTTAAACCATCTACACAGTGTTGTGAAGTTTGTTGCCGGGGATAGTCTGGATTATAATTTTTTAAACCATCTACACAGTGTTGTGAAGTTTGTTGCCGGGGATCCTCTATTTTTGATATTTTTCACGGATCTGTTCCTGCTTATCCCCGGATGTATCACTGAGATCCAGACTTGCCTGCACTGTATTAGGGAATCTTCCGCCCTCCTTTTTTTCGAGTGTGGGGGTTTTATCGTCCTTTACTTGGATTTTCTATATGTAGGTGGAGTTAACGCCTGTCAATCAAACGATCGGCAAAGGTGAAAGCACATTTCACTACCATTTCTAGTCAAATATTACAACGATGATAACTATGTTCAGAATAAAGTAATTGGACTGAAATTTTCAATATATTCTTCTTTCATTATCTACTTTTGAACTGTTATAGCAAGAATGGCCAACTCTCTATAAAAATCTCCCATAATGTATCTTTAAATGTTAAGACCTTTTCTGTGTATTTCTTTAAGATTCAACATTTACAGAAAGTTTTAGTAAAGAAACGTGATCCAGTAACACACATCTGTTTTATAGAAGAATTGGCCAAGGTAGGTAATTCTAAGCTGTGTTTTCTAAATTTAGAATGCCCACATTGAAATGTGGTCGATTATTTATTCTCAGTGTTTTAGTTCATAAAATAAAAAAGACTATTGATTTCCACTATCTAATGTTGGATCAGGAGTTATCACGATTAATAAAATGAAATATCTTGTGGACACTCTAGTCCGTTACAATAATGAATGGTTTTACATTGGTGTATGTTTAGTTTGGTGCATGATAATAATAGCACAGGTAAGGATGGTTAGGGTTACCTTGAAAGAGATAAAAGGGTTGGTATTACATTGACAGTGGTAAAAAGGGTTGGTATAATATTGACAGTGGTAAAAAAAGGTTTGTATTACATTGACAGTAGTAAAAAGGGTTGCCATACATTGACAGTGGTAAAAATGGTTGGGGTTGCATTGAAAGAGATAAAAGTGTTGGTATTACATTTACAGCTGTAAAAAGGGTTGGTATAACATTGACAGTGGTAAAAAGGGTTGTATTGAAAGGGGTAAAAAGCTTTAGCGTTGCCATTATTACCTGTTTTGTTTAATTTAAACAATTTATACACAATTATCTCCCCTCTGTTATATAGCATAGAAATGGTGATGTAAATTTTATGCAAGAATTTTGGGAAGCAGTGACAACCATGTTATTAACAGAATTTACAGATTCTGCTGAAAGTAAGATTCTGCTTTTATTTAATGTTTTTAGACTTTGGTCGGATTTACATAAAGACAAATGATCAAATTCAGGGACTAAAAACAACCCCTGATCATGCTGCTCATGGGATTCATTTTCAGTATGATAAATTGTATTCTTGTATTGGTCCACATTTGAATGATCAGCGCAGTTCTAATGGGTTGCTGAACCATATTGTGATTGAATTCTGAGTTCTCTGGGGTCACACTCCTTTCTATCTGCCCAAACACAGTTAAGGAAGTGATATGTTAATGATCTCCATCAGTCCATCAGTCTGTCATTCAATCCCTGTTTTGTTCCCGGAAGTTATCTATATGATATTTGTGTTTCTATGGAAACAAAGTCATATACAATCACCTGGAATCTTCATGGCTGAATCTTCTTGTTTTTATTAAAGAACAGATGTTTTAAATTCAAAATGTGTTGCAGAAAGCTTATTTATTCCAATCTTTCTCCATTTTCAGCTTCTTCATTCCTAAAACAAGCATTTGAAGGGGAATACCCTAAATTATTACGTTTATATAATGATCTGTGGAAGAGATTGCATCAGTTTTCTGTTAGTATGGTGAATGCTGGTAGTAATATGTCAGATACTGGTATAGTAGAGGAGGATGGACATAATGATGAATTCTTTACCTTAACTAGTAAATCTAAAGATAGTTACGAGTAAGTAGCATAGTTCTTCATTGAAATCATTATCTGTCACTGGGAACTGAATGAAGAAAAATAGCATAGGGTCCAGTGTGGTATGAAGCCACTGGTGGGAGATATGGTGGTCCTTCTTCTGAAAATTATTGAATGCAACAGCCAGGACTTCAAATGGGCCATGATTGTGGATCAAATGAGATCCCAGAGAATGAGCATGATATTTTCAAATCTAAATTAGAATCATATTTATCAGTATTGACTGACCAGCAGTGAGACTTGACCAGCTTGAAAAGTTACCTGTCGGTCAGTTTACATAGAAATCAAATTTCTTAGAATTTATCCTTAAAATACAGTTCAATTTATGGCTTGTATAAAAACATTTTGTTTTTGAATCAGCCATTACAAATTACTTCCACATATGTTTTTCTTTGTTCATTACAAATGGGACCCACACAACCATAGAGCACACGATTTGTGTACTGATGTTGTAATCTTCATTGTGTTTTAAATATTAGATACTGGGATCTAACAGCACCAATATTGATAGAAATGGACCAATATTGAATTCTAATTCGTATTTTTAATTTCATATATTAGTGAAAATATTGAGTTAGAGGATTAGCCGCTTTATAAACCCATCTACCAGAAGAATCCAATTTTACAAGATCATTTTAAAAAGATAGCATTTGACTTTTCTAGAACTCATTCAACATTCTACTGAATCCTATATACAAATGTTTTATTAATTTCAGTTCGGAGAAGGCATTAAGAAACACACTAAGTAAATTTGAAACAGCTTATCTATCCAAATCTTTATCACGTTTGTTTGATCCGATCAACCTGGTCTTCTCCAGTAACCAAAACCCACCTACAACAGAAGAAGTAGAAAATATTATCAAAACGATCAATAGGTTGGTTATCTTTATTTTATTTACATTTCAGTTATTACCCAAGGGGAATCTCATAAAATCTGACAAGGAGTGGGGTGATCTGTCTATAACTTAGTGGTTTTTCTGGTTAACTCCCACTGCTAAAGACCCCAATGTGCAAGCGAATTATTGAAATAAAATCACTGTAATCCAGGTATCATTTAATCTTGTGTATCTAGCACTAAATTCTTTCACATATGTTTAATATCAAATTTCTGTTTAAAAATTTGTAAAAACCATTTAAAATCACCATAAATCGTCTAATTTGTACTTGTGTCCAGTTTAAAGCTGACCATTCAATTTTGATAATGAGTGTCCAATTTACAAGTGTTTACTTTCTCAATCACTGTTAAAAAATAAACAATTATTTTCTACAATTTATTTAGCTAATCACAGTATTTTATGTCTATGTAACCAAATTACAATATCTTACCACTCATATTTATAATTATAAAAGGTTTCATCATAGGGCATTCGGCTTAATTTATCGTTATTTATTTATATTTTACTCAACACTTTGATATATATTTACCTTGTAAATACATATATGCAACTTATTACTTAACTATAAAACACAACCATAAAATTCTATATTTCTTAACTGTTATAATTAATGTAAAGATTATGGTTTCGATATAGTTCTATAAACCCTCAGTTTGATCTTCTTGAATGTTTTTTTAGTATATACTGGTTTCAGTTATGGTACAATGTGTATGGTTTCAATATTTGTTAATCTCGGTTAATCCCCTCTTTCATCTTTTAATTGTACAATAAGCCAACTCTAATATATATGATTATGCACTTGCTTGAAAACGTTGAGAGAATACTCTTCGAAACGTCGCCCAAATAAATCAGTAATTGTTCTTCCATAAGTATGTGTTATAGTTTATGATTATGCACCTTTGTTACATCAATAGCTTGTTATAGCTAATCATGCTCACTCACCTTGCATTCCATTGGATAGTTCGCACTGATGTTTGTATATATATTCATATCTTTCTCATTTTTATCTATTTGTGTATATGCTTGATAACGACTTGTGAAACCTTGTTGAAACGTCGCAGTGAAATAAACCATAGTAATTGTTATCCATAAAAGTGTGTTTTTGAACCCAATTGATTAATGATGTATAATGATTAATTTTTGAACAGTGGTCAGGAAATTAAATACTTGTAAATTGGACACTCATTATCAAAATTAATCAGTCAGCCTTAAACTGGACACAAGTACAAATTGCATGTAGATGAATTTTGGTGATTTTAAATGATTTTTACGAATTTTTAAACAATGATTTGATATTAAACAAATGTGAAAGAAATTAGTGCTAGATACACAAGATTAAACCTGGGTTACAGTGAATTGTTCCATATGTTTGTTCAGAAATTACCAGATTTGTGGCGAGTTGACATTAAACCCTATTTCCCTCTCTCCCTCAAATTTATCAATGCAATAAAGTAAACACAAACTAAGGCTATTCCAAGCATCTTGACTTTATTTATTAATGTCTAATTCATATGGAATTACAAGATATTATTTATCACCCTATATTGCTATGCAAGAAGACAAAGCAAATAGAATTACTTATCAAAAATAAGTTGAAACCACATATTTCATTTCATATTTGATAAAAATTGTGAGTGTATGATTATATTTATTTTTCAGTGAGTTAAATGTGTCGGCAGTCGACAATAAATTAAGTATAACAGTGGCTAAAAACGTGGCTAACACCATTAAATTATTTTGTGTAAAAAGTGAACAATTGGTAAGACATATTGTTAAATATTATATTTTTGTATATTAAACCTAAATCTTTAATCTAAACAAGTAGGCCTACAGAGGTCACTCGGCAAACCTCGACAGATTCGGGTACCATGTATCTAATCTCGGTGGTATGACGAATTCAGCCATTGGCACTTCTTTCTTCAAGTTCCCGGATTAAAAATGGTGGCGCCTATGAAGACACCTGTGAAGAGTGTTTTATAATACAAAGATTTCAAGTTTATCAGATTTCTTTAAACAAAGGACAACTTTGCAATGAAAACTCCAAACACTTTAAAACAACACCATTTTGAGAACCTCTTTCTAAAAGTGGCAAGTTTTCCTCTAAGTAAACCGGTAGCTGCATCACAATTGTATGGATTAGCTACATATCACTTACTGTCATACAGCTGAGGTTAGATGTTGGGCACCGGAACCTGCCGAGGTTTCCAGAGTGGTACAAGGGTACTATATGAACCAGGAACATATCCAACGCCATCACAGTCACCTTGGAATTGTGCAGTAATATCTAAAATTGAAGTCTGTCGGTCGATGCATACCAGTAATATTGTCCGAAGAACAAAACATAATAAGTCTAATGCCGATCGATTTTGAGTTGATAGAGCAAGACAAGAACAAAGATTACCAAATGTATGCAACCACTTCCAAGATAAAAGAATCTTTGGGATGCAGTATTAGCTTCATTAGCTTACCGCTAAGATTTGACTAACATACACTATTATTAGGTGTTGTTTAAAGATACATTATGGGAGATTCGGTAACGAGTTGGCAGTTCTCACTATAATAGTTAAAAACTAGATAATGTAAAGGCAATTTGCTGAAAATTTCATTCAAATTGATCCACTATGAACCGAGAACTAAGCGACTGAAATTCCCATAAGCCTCGGTCATCATAACTAAAGTCAGTACGATAAACAGCATAGTCTCGATTATCCATTTAATCGTTTAATTGAGAAGGAAATTTATGCGGTAAATCGGCTTACAATCCACTAAAGATCGCAGGCTACCGCTGCCATCTAGAGTTGATTATGGCCTGGATAGGTTAATTAATGTCTAATTAATAATTTAGATAACATTTCGGGCCTAAAGAAAGACCTGAAATAGGCAGATTTAGCTCTTGCATAATGTATGTTTAATTTGTTGTAATTACTTTTAGTTGTCAACTGATGGTGAAGCAAGTCAAGTTATTGGACCACCGACATCAGGTCAAACTCGTAATGCAGCTGTTGTAAATACACTATATCAACTACATCAATCTCTTACTAAGGTCATATTATTTATATCAACATCATCAATCTCTTAATATTATTTATATCAATCTCTTACTAAAGTAATACTATTTGTATCAATTACATCTATCACTTTATTACTGAGGTAATATTATTTATATCAACGACATCAATCTCTTAATATTATTAATATCAATCTCTTACTAAAGTAATATTATTTGTGTCAACTACATCAATCTCTTAATAGTATTAATATCAATCTCTTATTACTAAGGTAATATTATTTATATCAACTATGTATACATCAATCTATAAATACTAAAGTAATATTATTTATATCAACAATATCAGTCTCTGAATAAAACAGTAATATTCTTTATATCAACAATAAATATTTGTATTCTAGATATTAATTTGACGTTATTGGTCTATTTATAGGTTATAGAAAGTATCAACCATTTTCCACCTGAAGCAAAAGAAAGTATTCTAGCATCACAGAAGGTACGTAACATTTAAATTTACACTCGTAATCTTTACATAGAGATTCTATTTGTGAACTACTTGTTATTGGATAACCTGTTGCATGATGGATAGTGTTGTATTGATATTACAGGGTATCAATTTTAGGGTTGTAGAATGTTGTATTGATATTACAGTGTATCTATTTTAGGGTATTATATATATATTGTAGAATGTTGTATTGATATTACATTTAGGGTATTATATATATATTGTAGAATGTTGTATTGATATTACAAGTATCTCTATGTTAGGGTTTTGATGTAATTAATATACAGGATATTAGAGTGTTGTAATTTTACTATTAAAATATTACAGCTCAGTATCTACTTTAGGGTATTGATTTTATTGATATTATATTACAGGATATTGATTTTATTGATATTATATTACAGGATATTGATCTTATTGACGTTATATTACAGGATATTGGTGTGATTACAGGGTGTTGATTTTATTGATATTATATTACAGGATATTGTTGTATTAATGGGAAATGCTGTCAATCCTTTACTATCATCTATATTAGACGCCCTAGAAGCCATTATTTTAACTATGCATCAAGAAGATTTCTCTGGGTAAGTGTTAAAGATAAGTTCCCTCTAAGATCCGTCTAAACTTAAGAACGTTTTTAGCTAAAGCTTGTGCAGGGTGACATATTGTTATAGGCTACACATGCTTCGTCTGTTGTTAAGTGACGGTCAAAGTGATAATGCTTTTCATTTTAGATTTGAATTATAGAATAATGCGTCCCATTCGTAGCTTGTGCAGTGTAACATATCGCTACAGGCTACAAACACTTTGCCTGTCGCTAAGTAACAGTCAAACCAGTAATGCTGTTATTTTTATTTTTTTTGAAATAGTTCTTTTTAACAAAAACCCTTTTGATGAATTGACAATATTGTTCATATATTGTACTGACCACCATGTTATTTTCAGTGGAGCTCCACCAGCAGGTCAAACAGAAGCACCATGTTCTCTATACATGAAGGAATTACAGGGTTTTGTTATGCGATGTTCAGCTGATTATATATCACAGTTTCAGTGTGTCGATTTTATTATGGAAAGGTAAGTTTATGCAGAGCGACTTCTCTTATATTCATTTTAATCATCCAAACCAGGGGTGGACTGAGGAGGAGCCTGCGAGCCTAAGACAGCTCGTGGACCACTAAAGAAATTTATTTTCTCACACAATTTGGGGACCCTTTTTCTTGAATTTATGTAGTTTTTTATGAATTGATATACAAAGCACTCTTTGGAGGTTTGGTACTTGAGATATACTTTAGAAAGCACCATTTAACTCCATTCTCCAGGCCACGTCACTTTTTCATGGTGTAGCTTTTGCATGAGCTGAGAGCTAAGATTTGTGCTAGGAATTTAATTACCTGCCAGTTTTATCAAATTTAAAGTAGCTAAGTCTCTAACTCAATATCATCCAAAATATTCAACATTAAAAACACAAATTATTTGTCAATTTAAATCAACATTGATGCTGTGATCCTACCGGAAAAAGATGGGCTTCTGATATCCAATATTTAAGATAAAATAAACATTTTACCATTGGTACACGAATCGTGTACCATAATGCGTTTCAGCCCCAGTTCTAGCAAGAGACTCGAGGAACAGGGTAAACATATTGCACCAAACCAAATGGCATATGTAGACTGGAATAACCAGGCGCTAGAAATTTGCATTCGATTGAGACTGCTGGCTTATTTCGCGGAACATAACTGATTTGAAATTAGAGTAAAAACGGAAACCATTGAATGTATATCAGTTTATATACATTCATATTACAGTATTATATGAGTTGCGACCCACTTGTGTCAATTTCTAGGTCCCAAATGTTAGCGATTTAGCTCCTTTAAGCAGAAATCACCTTTGTATAATTTTCTTGGTGTTCTAGTTGTTCAACCAGTAATTAGAGAGGATTTCTAATTTAACGTCTCACAAAAACATCTGTCACTCAGCAAGAGGTTTTAAACAGTTTAATGTGTTTTTGTTTATTTATATTTTAGTATTTTACCAGTTGCGTGTCGATGTACAGAGCTATTTATAAGACACGCTAGTTTGATTCGACCATTAGGAGATGGTGGAAAACTTCGATTAGCAGCAGATTTCGCTCAGATGGAATTAGCAATCTCACCTTTCTGTAGAAGAGTTTCAGATTTAGGAAAAACTTATAAACTTTTACGTGCTTTTAGGTAAATATATGTGTAATTATTTTAATATTTTGAGGTAAAGATTGTTTCAGTTTTTGTAATACTTTTCAGTAAATATGTGTCTAATTATTTTAATATTTTTAGATATAAGTCTAATTATTTTTAATACTTTTAGGTAAATATAGGTCAAATTATTTTAATACTTTTAGGTAAATATAGGTCAAATTATTTTAATACTTTTAGGTTAAATATAGGTCTCATTATTTTAATACTTTTAGGTAAATATAGGTCAAATTATTTTAATATTTTTAGGTTAAATATAGGTCTCATTATTTTAATACTTTTAGGTAAATATAGGTCAAATTATTTTAATACTTTTAGGTTAAATATAGGTCTCATTATTTTAATACTTTTAGGTAAATATAGGTCAAATTATTTTAATACTTTTAGGTTAAATATAGGTCTCATTATTTTAATACTTTTAGGGAAATATAGGACATTTTCATAATGTCCAATTGAATTTACCTTTTATAATTTCAGACCTTTACTATTTCAAACATCCGAACATCTTACACAGAGTCCCGCTATAGGGGAGATAATCCCTTATAGTACTATACTCCATTACCTATTTGCTAGAGCACCTGCTGAACTAAAATCACCACATCAAGCTTCTGATTGGTCAATAAGTCGATATTCTCAATGGTTAGAAACTCACCCATTGGAAGCAGACAGACTACAATTTATAAAGTAAGTACAAACTTTTATTGATAGTCAAGTGATAATTGGTTGGTCAACTAATTTTGGTTTCATTTCAGCTTGACCTGTTGAATACTTAATGCGTTATATAACAACATTTGACAATTTCAATTTTGACTAGAATGGAATAGGATTTAAACTTAAAGTAGCTAAGTCTCTAACTCAGTATCATCCAAAGTCTTACATGTTGAAAATACGAATTATTTGTCAATTCAAGTCAACATTGGTGTTGTGATCTTACCAGGAAAATGTAGGCTTCTGATATCCAATATTCAAGACAAAATAAACATTTTACCATTGTTACAAGTGACCAGAAAGAACGAAGCTAGACATATTCCACAACTCATGTCAAACGGTGAAGCCATATCTTATCTGGAGAGCATGCGCAATAGACTGGAATAACCAGACGCTAGAAATTGCTATTCGGTTGAGACCCGTGCCGTATTATATTATGCTGGACATAACTGATTTGAAATTAGATTCAAAATGGAAACAATTGAATGTAAATCAGTTTATATACAATCAGATTACATTATTATATGCATTGCGACCCATTTGGGTCAATTTCTAGGTATCAAATATTAGCGATTTAGCTCCTTTAAGTAATAATAATCTATTTATAAAGCGATGAAAATCCAACAAAAGTCTCATACTTTAGTCATTTTCAGAATAGAGTAGGGTAACATTCATTTTTATTTGTAACATGTGCAATGCAAGGGGGAGGGGGGGAAGCGATTTTGCCCAGACACCATTGTTTCTGTCTACACTTCTTTAAATTCCAACTGTCAAGGGTTCTTTTACATGCACACCAATGTTTCCATGGAGAGTCCTCTGTTTCTGGTCCCATCCAAATGACTAAGCACACTTTCCATGTCAACTTGAAAAATCCTCAAGTTATATTGTAATCTAGAGGCAGGTGCCTTACCACTGTGGCCCCCTCAAATCAAATAGGTAATTCTATAAATTGATAATTAACTGTTTATCATTAGTGTCATCAAACCAGAGTAAAAATTATATTATATTTTATAGGGGAGCATTAGAGGCCTATGTGAAGACGGTTCGACAAAGACAAGGAAAGGAATATGCAGATGTTTATCCTATTATGATAGAAATATTACAGAAAGGTCTGGGTATTCAACAACAAATAACGTAGTTCTCTTATATACTTTAAATCAGGAGGGAAATCAATTGTGTTTAGGTCCTAACCATTCCAAATATATTTTACAGTGGGAATTGTTTATTGATATGTTCATCAATATGTATTAGCGTTGCTGAGCAGTACAAGGCCGTTTCAGAGTTCAAGTGATTTACAAATCCATCAAATCCATTATAAAGTTTTTTTTTAGTTATTTATACCAGTTCATGTATTTACATCTTTCATAACCATATGGTTTTGTGCTAAAATAACATGTTGAAATATTGTTTCATTTCAATGTGATTTATCATGTATTATCATTGACTGTGTAGCAACTGGAACTAACAGAAAACTTAAAATAATAGTCCATATTCACATTATTTGCTGATAAAATCCATGGGCTTGTGTTCTTCAAGATATATGTTCAAATAACTGTCCATATTGTACAGGATAAATAATATAGGAGAGTGCAGTAATACATTTTAAATCATTTGAAAGCATTCTCCTTGTTTTTGTGCTATTACCTTTATTTACATATCAAGGTAATGTGTGAATTATGTTTGTTATTAATAACCTTGTTGACATTATCATATTATTGTAAATACACTATATTTATATTGTACAGTGGTTTAATATATTAGGTAAATAATAAAACATGAAAAAATATACACATACATGCAGTTCCTTCTTTTTCGCAGTTCAACACAAATCATGCTTCTTTTTTCTTCTTCCCTTCATCCAGATTTTCCAGCGTGGTTTCCCCCATGCAGAAGGGAGGGCCTGACAAGTCTAGTTGTTCAGATGGGACGAAAAACCGAGGTCCCATGTACACATTGCCATGCACTTAAAAGATCCCTTGACAGTTGGAATTCGATATAAGAGTAAGAGTAGGCTGTAGTGCCGCTGTACATGCAAAATTTCCCCCATAGCACACTGTATGGCGTATGCCCTTCTTCACTAGCTCAGTTCAGAGCAGAACAGTAGGACATTAAACCCCATTTCTTTTCATTTTCTTCTTCCCCATTTAAAATTAAAACCAACTTTTATTAATAGAATTTATTACAATTGCACTATCATTAACAATATATGAAATAATGTTTATGTTATGAACTGACATTTTCAATGATCTAAAAATCTGATGTGCATAGGTCACAATTTATGTAAAGTTTTGAAGCAGATAGTTAATGTCAATATTACAGAAATTATTTTATATTACAAATTATTAAATCACAAAGAGTTTAAAATAAAAGAGGGAGTTGTATAGTACAATATTAGGAATTTATTCCCACGTCTCTCTTCTTCTCCTCTGTCGTTTTGTCAGATTTTAACAGAGTTCCTAGAACAATGCCTATAAAAACTAACAAACCAAGCTGATTGTTAGATCGGAATTTACTGGCACAACTATCAGGATTATTCAAATCAACGGTTATTATCTGAAAAATACAAAGAAATACTGTTAACATTTCAAATGTGGCCCTTCTTACTACTGAAATAGTATCAAGTGTTCAAATCGGGTATAAAATCCACTTGACAAACTGTTATTTTGGGACAAATATATGGTACTTGTTTTTTTTCATTAATTCATTTGTCAAGTCTTTAGCTGGGAGGAAACTAGAAGGATCCAGAGAAAACCCACAGGGTTAAGCAAGCGACACTCCTCTTTGTCAAGTACAAGCCTGGTGAAACCACGTCATTTGACTCAATAATAGACTTCTGGATCAAAATTGGACACATAAGATCACTCAGCCACCAAATACTTTGGAATAATACAGAAACAATTCCTCCTAGAGGGGGGAGGAGAGCATTTCCTTTAACCCCATACTTACCATGTTATCTGTGGATTATAATTACAAAATTTACCTGATGAGCAAGATGTGCTGTCATTGCACTAACACCTAGATAAAATGGCCATGTTTGATCGCAGAGAAAACCAGATAGAGATAATCCTCCTATGGTAATAGTAGAAAATCCCACCAGCCATGGTTTCGTATTATCTCCTAATTTTAATGCAGTTGACTTGACACCAATTAACATATCGTCATACTTATCCTGAAAAACAATGATTATATCTCATATAGAAACTGACATTGAAATACTTAGCTTCTAAATGATATGATTTTCTCTACTTTTAGGATTTAAAATCGCATAGACTTAAAGATGTATTCCTCTGACAATCATGGGTGTACCGGTAATTATCCTACAATCCATTTTTGAAAACATCTCAACTATAATGATATAGTATTTTATTATTATAACCACAACTGGATCTAAGCAATGATAATTTTATGTACAGATAGAAAAGGTTTCAGAACAATGACAACTGCTGTTTATTACTTGGTTACAAAATGGCTAACCCGTTTTTCATTAATTACAAGTTTAATACACTATTTCAGCTCATGATATTAATTTTTCGTTTCATTAGAAGCACTATATTTTGAAATAGAACTAATTACAGTACTTCATCTCGGACAACAGATACAACATAAGCTAACCTTGTTCTTTCATTAATTACAAGTAAAATAAACCATTTAGCCTCATGATTTTAATTTTCCTGTTCATTAGAAGCACTATATGGGTCAATTTCTAGGTATCAAATATTAGCGATTTAGCTCCTTTAAGTAATAATAATCTATTTATAAAGCGATGAAAATCCAACAAAAGTCTCATACTTTAGTCATTTTCAGAATAGAGTAGGGTAACATTCATTTTTATTTGTAACATGTGCAATGCAAGGGGGAGGGGGGGAAGCGATTTTGCCCAGACACCATTGTTTCTGTCTACACTTCTTTAAATTCCAACTGTCAAGGGTTCTTTTACATGCACACCAATGTTTCCATGGAGAGTCCTCTGTTTCTGGTCCCATCCAAATGACTAAGCACACTTTCCATGTCAACTTGAAAAATCCTCAAGTTATATTGTAATCTAGAGGCAGGTGCCTTACCACTGTGGCCCCCTCAAATCAAATAGGTAATTCTATAAATTGATAATTAACTGTTTATCATTAGTGTCATCAAACCAGAGTAAAAATTATATTATATTTTATAGGGGAGCATTAGAGGCCTATGTGAAGACGGTTCGACAAAGACAAGGAAAGGAATATGCAGATGTTTATCCTATTATGATAGAAATATTACAGAAAGGTCTGGGTATTCAACAACAAATAACGTAGTTCTCTTATATACTTTAAATCAGGAGGGAAATCAATTGTGTTTAGGTCCTAACCATTCCAAATATATTTTACAGTGGGAATTGTTTATTGATATGTTCATCAATATGTATTAGCGTTGCTGAGCAGTACAAGGCCGTTTCAGAGTTCAAGTGATTTACAAATCCATCAAATCCATTATAAAGTTTTTTTTTAGTTATTTATACCAGTTCATGTATTTACATCTTTCATAACCATATGGTTTTGTGCTAAAATAACATGTTGAAATATTGTTTCATTTCAATGTGATTTATCATGTATTATCATTGACTGTGTAGCAACTGGAACTAACAGAAAACTTAAAATAATAGTCCATATTCACATTATTTGCTGATAAAATCCATGGGCTTGTGTTCTTCAAGATATATGTTCAAATAACTGTCCATATTGTACAGGATAAATAATATAGGAGAGTGCAGTAATACATTTTAAATCATTTGAAAGCATTCTCCTTGTTTTTGTGCTATTACCTTTATTTACATATCAAGGTAATGTGTGAATTATGTTTGTTATTAATAACCTTGTTGACATTATCATATTATTGTAAATACACTATATTTATATTGTACAGTGGTTTAATATATTAGGTAAATAATAAAACATGAAAAAATATACACATACATGCAGTTCCTTCTTTTTCGCAGTTCAACACAAATCATGCTTCTTTTTTCTTCTTCCCTTCATCCAGATTTTCCAGCGTGGTTTCCCCCATGCAGAAGGGAGGGCCTGACAAGTCTAGTTGTTCAGATGGGACGAAAAACCGAGGTCCCATGTACACATTGCCATGCACTTAAAAGATCCCTTGACAGTTGGAATTCGATATAAGAGTAAGAGTAGGCTGTAGTGCCGCTGTACATGCAAAATTTCCCCCATAGCACACTGTATGGCGTATGCCCTTCTTCACTAGCTCAGTTCAGAGCAGAACAGTAGGACATTAAACCCCATTTCTTTTCATTTTCTTCTTCCCCATTTAAAATTAAAACCAACTTTTATTAATAGAATTTATTACAATTGCACTATCATTAACAATATATGAAATAATGTTTATGTTATGAACTGACATTTTCAATGATCTAAAAATCTGATGTGCATAGGTCACAATTTATGTAAAGTTTTGAAGCAGATAGTTAATGTCAATATTACAGAAATTATTTTATATTACAAATTATTAAATCACAAAGAGTTTAAAATAAAAGAGGGAGTTGTATAGTACAATATTAGGAATTTATTCCCACGTCTCTCTTCTTCTCCTCTGTCGTTTTGTCAGATTTTAACAGAGTTCCTAGAACAATGCCTATAAAAACTAACAAACCAAGCTGATTGTTAGATCGGAATTTACTGGCACAACTATCAGGATTATTCAAATCAACGGTTATTATCTGAAAAATACAAAGAAATACTGTTAACATTTCAAATGTGGCCCTTCTTACTACTGAAATAGTATCAAGTGTTCAAATCGGGTATAAAATCCACTTGACAAACTGTTATTTTGGGACAAATATATGGTACTTGTTTTTTTTCATTAATTCATTTGTCAAGTCTTTAGCTGGGAGGAAACTAGAAGGATCCAGAGAAAACCCACAGGGTTAAGCAAGCGACACTCCTCTTTGTCAAGTACAAGCCTGGTGAAACCACGTCATTTGACTCAATAATAGACTTCTGGATCAAAATTGGACACATAAGATCACTCAGCCACCAAATACTTTGGAATAATACAGAAACAATTCCTCCTAGAGGGGGGAGGAGAGCATTTCCTTTAACCCCATACTTACCATGTTATCTGTGGATTATAATTACAAAATTTACCTGATGAGCAAGATGTGCTGTCATTGCACTAACACCTAGATAAAATGGCCATGTTTGATCGCAGAGAAAACCAGATAGAGATAATCCTCCTATGGTAATAGTAGAAAATCCCACCAGCCATGGTTTCGTATTATCTCCTAATTTTAATGCAGTTGACTTGACACCAATTAACATATCGTCATACTTATCCTGAAAAACAATGATTATATCTCATATAGAAACTGACATTGAAATACTTAGCTTCTAAATGATATGATTTTCTCTACTTTTAGGATTTAAAATCGCATAGACTTAAAGATGTATTCCTCTGACAATCATGGGTGTACCGGTAATTATCCTACAATCCATTTTTGAAAACATCTCAACTATAATGATATAGTATTTTATTATTATAACCACAACTGGATCTAAGCAATGATAATTTTATGTACAGATAGAAAAGGTTTCAGAACAATGACAACTGCTGTTTATTACTTGGTTACAAAATGGCTAACCCGTTTTTCATTAATTACAAGTTTAATACACTATTTCAGCTCATGATATTAATTTTTCGTTTCATTAGAAGCACTATATTTTGAAATAGAACTAATTACAGTACTTCATCTCGGACAACAGATACAACATAAGCTAACCTTGTTCTTTCATTAATTACAAGTAAAATAAACCATTTAGCCTCATGATTTTAATTTTCCTGTTCATTAGAAGCACTATATTTTGAAATAGAAATAAATTCTGAGGTGCTATGAAGATGACTTATCTGTCAAGGGAATCCCTAAACAGATATAATGTAAATAAAATCTTTCTTTAATTAATTTTTTAGAAAAATTTGTAATTAATGGAATTATTTAAAAATTGTAATAAACATCTATAAATGGATATACATTCAAGTAGATAGATATATTGTAAAATATGCAAAAAAACAAGTAACCCATAATATAATAGAGATAATACAATATAACATTAACATGCAGATATTTTATATTAATTTACAATATCTCTTTTACTTGAACTCACTTGATGGGCATATATAGTATCATAGACTAGTGTCCAGGCTAAACATCCTACATAAAGCGGCAAAACACTTGCCCAGTCTACACTTCCCTGTACAGCAGACCAACCCAGAAGTGCTCCATAGTTGAAAGTTAAACCTAATAAATTTTGATAGGTATAAAGCTCTAAATATTTATGTAAAGATGTCAAAAAAAAAAAAAGAAGCTGTATTAAAAACTGTAAAATCAGGATAAATTAATGCAAGAAAAGCTATCACCAACCCCCTCACTGTATAATAATAGTAATGGTTGACAAAATTAAACATAAAACAGTTTGAGGCATTAGTGCAACATGAAATGTGTCTTAATGTAAAATAAACGTGTAGGCCTAATCCATTTCCAAGGTGTTAATAAGGTCTTGTCATAAAACTGGGGTGAAGCTTTTACACATAGTTACTGGAGAACTGCTGCCATTGCAGAGTTTATTATCTAGTGTAAAAACAAAGATAAGCCGAAGTGCAAATAGTTTTACCATTAACTGTCTCACATGAGAGGAACTGTCAATCATTCTACCATTTTTTACTATATAGGGATCTAATAAATTTCTTGCTGTATATTAAACTGTAGTTGTGTCTTTACAAAGCCTAAAACAGTAGCTACTCTTGTTTATTTATATTTAAAGAGAGATACAGATTTAACTTCCACTTAACACAAACTAGCTAGCTAATGCTAGGTTCCCACTATCATAATTCATTCTACAATTGAAATTGTGGAGTAACCGTGGTGATCCTATCAGGTCTTATCACATATTGTTGTCAGTCGTAGCCATTGTGTTGATCGTATCGAAATTTATCCGAACGTATCTGTACATACCAAATTGTGGGCTCAATAGGGACAATCTTTCTGTAACGCATCACACGACAGTGGGAACATAGCATAACATAACTATTTCAGTCTTCAGCAGTGGGAGGAAACAGGCACACCCAGAAGGTAAGGCAGGTGTCAGATCCTTCTTCTGTCACATACAAGCCTTTGATTAAAACCACAACGTTTGACTTAACACTACACATACACACAATCCTCTTGTACAGTGACTGACAATTGTCCTCAAGGTCCTACTTGACATGTTAATTAAAAGGTGAAACAATTTGCACATCAAATATAAGAATTAATTATTAAAACCTGCATCATGAAATTATCCTTTAATGGGCCAGAATTCTGTACTGTTCATTGAATGAAATATTACAGAATTAAAGACAGGCATGCAGGCATAGCTGTTACCGTACTAAACTCTGACAACATATATTGAGGAAGGAACTACACACACAATTTATATAGAATGTTAAAAACAGTGCTGCATGCATAATAAGCAATTAAAAAGTGATTTTAAGGTAAAACTAAGACATTAAGGCATTTCTAGGCAGCCAAACACAAAAATGAAACGTTTGCAGAAAATTGTATTTTAATCGACACTGTTGCCATCCACCGATGAATACGTTAAAACAGATTCAAAAATTAAGATCGTTCTTATAGTTATCCATACATTCTATGCACCAAGTTCCAGATGTTAATGATTTCAATAAAGATAAGTGGACAGAAACATTGTCTATTAAAGCATACAGCTTACTTTCACATTAGAGAATGTTGCTGTGAATTAGGTTAGAAGATTTCAACTTAGATTAAAAGCATTCCTGATCTGACAGTTTGTATACCCATAAAAAAATGTCTACTTTTTGGAGGTGAAAATTGGAGGGTTTTAAAATGGGATGAAACTAACTACACTACAGCAAGGTTAAATTATGGTTCTTACTGATAATACTAGTAACATTAACTATAAACCTTTGGAATTAATATATTTCAAAGTCCGAAGCTTGACCAAGTGTTATAATAAATAAAAGGTTCTATTAATGGCAGAGGTCAGAGGTTATATATGTCTTTAGTAAAGCTATGCCTGCATGTACCTGATGTGAGTAAATGGTATCGTAAAACACTGTATACAACACACAAGCACAGTATAACGGTGCCACTCGCCAATCCAAGGCACCATTTAACACAGACCAGGCCAATAGCACTCCCCAGTTTAATGACAAGCCTGAAACATTGTATAAAATTTATGAATATCAGACAGCAGTATGACACATACATATCCATGGTATTTTTTTTCAATTAATTAAATTCAACAATATCTATTAAAGATACATTATGGGAGATAAGATAACGAGATGGCAGTTCTCGCTATAATAGTTAAAAACTAGATAGTGTAAAGGTAATTTGCTGAAAATTTCAGTCAAATTGATCCACCATGTGCCGAGATAGAAGCTCGTGAAATTTTGGCATAGTCTCGGTCATCATTACTAAAATCATTAATATAAACAGCAAGTCTCGATTATCCGCTTTTCTTGATTTAATTATCAACGGCCGTTAGCGGCATATAGGAATTTAATCCAGCCAACATCGAAGGCTAGCCTTGACATCGAGAGTTTATTATGGTCTGGATAAGTTAATTAATGTCTAATTGATAATTTAGATAACATTTCAGGCCTAAAGAAAGACTTGTAATAAGCAGATTTTGCTCTTGCATAATGCATGTTTGATAGTTATATTCAACTTTATTTTTGATAATATTAAAAATATGTTTATTATCTTTTTTAGTGGATTGTCCTATATTTCAAATTCAGCAATTTTTAGTCCAGCTGTTATTAATATTCACTTTTAGATAAAACAGCAAATTCATCAATTTTGGGTCTAGCTGTTATCAAAATTCACTTTTAGATAAAACAGCAAAGACACAATATCTAAATAAACTGTTTGCTTAGAAAGTTAAAATAAAGCTTTGACAGACAGGTCACACATTTCATGTTCTAACTTAATAATGTGACAAAATCACTTCCAACACTTGACTGAATAAACTTCAATGTAGGCATACAAAATGAGAAACTTTTAGTTTGCAGTTAACTTCTTTGTGAATTTATCTTGATTATCCAGTTTTTATACAACATCACATATATATACAATAAGAATTCAAAAATTACAGTTTCACAAATTAACCATCTTGGCCTAATCTGTGGTCCACTACATCTTTTCAAATGATTACGTAGATGATAGAGGCTTATCACCATGTCCGATAATAAACTCTGTTCTGGGGCAAATTTGATTGGACCACAATTACAACATGACATTAATGCCCCGCCCCAGGAATTTTGTAATGGAACCTAACTGTTTTGTCCCATGCAAACAACTAGAAACTTTTCCTTGCCAGACTTTCTGTCCTGCCCCATTGACAAGGGGAAAGCAAGCAGGTCCTTCTGATCACTGACAAAATCAACAAAAATATTGCAAAAAGTGACCAGACAATGAAAGATATGTTATAGATAAGTACATTCTACACATTATTTTCAAAATTTAAATAATTTGGTTACAATCATATTTTTGCTACCAATTTCCTATCAGTATCAGGACCATGAAATAATGGCATGAGGATACAAAGATTCAAAACCTATCATCTGTCTTATAAACCATTAGTATCTGTATGTGGTCACATATCTAGCTTGCTAATCATGGAGTCCCTTACCCAGCTTAATTTGGACTAATTGGTACAGTCATATGAATAAAATATAGGTACCTAATAAAACCTGTGGCCAGTATGTATATCTTTTAGCTAGTGGATAACATATAACTAATCCCATTGACGCTGCTCCTAATATAACACTGAAAACATATTAATTAATCATTATAATACAATTATTACAAAAATAGAATGATGAATACAAGAGATAGAGAGGGACAGAGTTGGTGACTTAACCCCACTCAAGAGTCAAACGCAAAATAAACCATATTGCTAAATTATCGTAAATTTAACAGTAGAATTTACTTTAATTGGACGCTATCCTAAATCTAACCAAAATGATGTAAAAATAATGTGAATTTCAGATCAGCTTGTTATATGGGTTTATTATGGGAGGAAATTGGAGAAAAAAATCTAGAAGTTCGTAGGAGCAAATTGGAACCACAAACCTTATCATCTGCATGCATTCTACCTCTCGGACATCCAAAAACCATCCCCCTACCACAACCTTTGATGAATACAAACACAGCTAGTGCTGGATCAGGTAGGCATGTTACACAAGCATTAAATTTGTCACCACTGTAAGGATTAAGATTATAATGCCTGTGCCTGGTCACAGAGAATTATAACAATAAACAATTCCTAATTCTGCGATATTTCTTTTTGTTTATTTATTTTTAAAAAATTTTTTTTACATGCATCAGGGGTGGAGAGGATTTTGTCAGAAGAAGTAGTTTAGCAAGTTCAACCTAATGGACCAACACAACAAACATAAATAACTGTCATACCTGTATGTATTAAACTGTAATAAAACAGCTAAAGCCAAACTAAGCTGTGATCCTAGAAAAACCAATGCTTGAAATGGTGTAAGTTCTCCCGAAGCCAGCGGCCGGGTCTTTGTTCGGGCTACCTAAATGAAATGAAATGAAATGGGTTTTAACGTCCTACTGTTCTGCTCCTAAACTGGGCTAATGAAGACGGGCATACGCCATACAGTGTGCTATGAGGAAAATTTTGCCCGGGCAGCGGCACTACGGCCTACTCTTATATCGAATTCCAACTGCCAAGGGATCTTTTACGTGCACGCCAATGTGTACACGGGACCTCGGTTTTTCGTCCCATCCGAACGACTAGACAGCTGTCCTTGTCAGCCCCTCCGTCCTGCATCACTGACAAGGGAGAACCACGCCAGAAAATCTGAATGAACTTTTCTCAGCCAATGCAGGGATCGAACACCTGACCTCCAGACTAGCGAGCCAGCGTCTTACCCAGAGAAAACCCATGAGGTTGGACAGGCGACCCTACTCCTTGACACATACAACCAGGGAATCGAAACCATGCTAGTTGACTCAATGACAGACCTTATGATACAGCCCACACGTGCTAACCATTCGGCCATCCAACCCGGCCTGATATATTCAAGACAAATCTATATTTACCAAGAACATTTAACATCTTATGACTATAATCAATCAATGCTGAATAGATTGAATCCAACACAGGATATAACATCATTAGTACTCTGGACATTTATGACTATAATCAATCAATGCTGAATAGATTGAATCCAACACAGGATATTAGCTACCATATATTGGATTTGTTTTCTTAATTAAATGTTAAATGATCAATTTGAGTACATGTACATTTATCTTGGATTAAGTCATGAAAAATTATATATTGTCTGACACAAATCCACGATTGGATTCAGTAGCTTTTAAAATCGTTACCCTGTTTGACTGTGAATATAATAAAAGTACCTTTTTATCAAAATCTTTATCCCACATATCATTAATAATACATCCAGCACCCCTCATTAAAAATGCTCCAATACCAAACCATGCCAGCGTTGATATACTGGGTAGATGGCCAGCCTGTGCAGCTAATCCTATACTCCATGTACAAGGCCAATATAATAAAAATGTTCCTAAAATATACAATTAAAGGCTAATTATATATGCCTACAGGGTTAATTAGAGGGATAACCATTATTATATGTCTTTAAAACAGTAAAAATTATACATGCCCCATGGCCTGTGAATCTTGTTGTCAGTGGATCAAATGCAAAAGAATCATGTACAACAATATTTCTTAGCTTTACAGTCTGAAAAAAGAACTTACCTATTGGTTTATCAAATCTTATTAAACGTAAATATGGCTGGATGGAAGGGGGAGATGACTCTAATATAGATTTTGTTGAAAGAGTAAAATTTGTTTTTTCTAGTCTCTTTGATTGGTTTATGTTTGTTGATAACAAGGGATGACCATGTAAACATTTCATATTACTAGGGAGTGTATGATGATGACAAGCATTGAAAGGCATGTTAAGTTTTAAACATCTGTTCCGAGTGCTTGTGGAAACATTATGAAGAGCTTTATCTAATGTTCCATGTCTAGAAGGCTGGTGACCCGTCTGTGTTGATAACAGTCTTGAAAGGAAAATATGGCTTTGTTGATTTTTTGAACAATCATATAATATCAGTGTCTGTCTCCTTGTGAAGCAGGTCAGCTGATTAATGCCTCTAATATATAAACATGTTTTCCATGTAGCCATCTTAATAACTGTAATAATAAAACAAATACATTCCTTCAAGGTTAGACTTTCAAACCCTTAAAATTAACTTCATTTGAGATTTTCAGGATAAAATAAATGACAATTTATAACTATGGTTTGTTAACCAAGGAAACTGCAGCCAACATTTGAATACTGTGGGTTCAGGGAGATCATCGACAGTATGTACCTTGTGCAATATTATGATGACAGCATGATCTGATCTGATCTAAGTTATACGAAAAAGAGAAATAGTCGATAATTTAGAAATAAATTATGTAAGATTTAGATAAAGAGCTAGCCATTCTTGCTATAATAGATCAAAAATAGATAATGTAAAATGAATAATTTGAAAATTTCATTCAAATTACTCTATTGCGAGCGAAGATATTAGCCTTTAAAGGTTTGACAGGACGTGTGCAATAATTTCAACCACCGTACTGGTTGTTCGAAGCTAAGTCTCACTCCTCCATATGTAGCTTAAATCAAAATATGGCTGAACTGTTCTAATCTATTTAATATCGGAGAAATCTGATGCCATTGAGAGTTGATTATAGCCTGGATAAGTTAATTAATAATTTAGAAAAAAATTCAGGCCTAAAGAAAGACCTGCAATAGGCAGATTTAGCTCTAGCATAATGTATGTTTAAACAAAAGTTTTTAAAATATTCTGATAGAAATAGTTCTGTTGGCAAAAAATAACATTAATTTAACATTGCATTCAACAAACTTGTGTACTGAAAACATATAGGCTGTTCTTGATACCCTTTTCTAAAAAGGAAACAATTCTTCAAGTGTTCGAAACTAAGATCAACAGTTAATAATATTAACAGTTTATAATTTCGAACAATGTCACGTGGATGTATCTTTTGTAGTCTTGTTTTTAATCATAGAAGAATGGGACCAAACTTCTAATATAGAGCGAAGCTCTAAGGTACCAGACGAAACACAGTGCATGAGCAAGGCTCTTTTCCAGTAACAGAGAAGCGTAACATAATTAGACTGTCAGACTGTCGGTTTAAAAATATTCAGACAGGAACCAGGTATACTGGCTGGGCAAAACAGGCAATGTGCATGTCATCATAGAGTTGTCTCCCCTGTCAAATCTCGTCAAAGACAGATTACGCGTATTACCAAATTAATCAATGAAAATAACTCTCACACTTTTTGAGGTTTTTTTTTAAAATTTTAAACAAAATTAATTGTTAATTTATCCAATACCACCCGATACTCATGCAATCAAAATTAATATCAATTTGGAAAAACCAAATTATTTAATATTTTTTGCATCACTAGTTGATAAAGGTTTTATATTTGACAACAATCAGCTTTGCTCTACTCAGGCAATGGCTGTCACATATTATTCATTTATAATTATGACTGATCCATAATACAAAAAACAGTGGTCTGAATCCTAGCCCAAGTGAGGTTATCTTCCCTTTCTTCAGATTTCGCTCTTCCTATTGCTTCCTTTCATCGAACAATTAAAATGCTTGTCGCCAAGCGGCTTGTCCCTCTCTTACAACCCTTACACTGTAGGGCCAGATGCATGCATAACCCAGGCAAGGGCTAGAATTATTCAAGTTTTATTCTTATGTTACCTCAGGTTTGCAACACTAAACACGTTTCACACTTACAAGAGTTTTGCAAGGGACATAACTCTAAATAGAACTCTTGAGAGGTGGACTTTGGAAGGCTGTATGTCACAAATGTTCAGCAATGAAAAGCGGTATATTTAATATTTACTTTAGAAGAAAGTGAACTGGGACAGGCTAATAGCCTAGAAATTAATGAAATTTTATAATAGTCCCATTCAAATGTGTACTATCACTTATTAACTTAGCTAATAAAAAGTTATTTAATTTCAATTTCCACTACCGGTATATTAAATTGTGGTCATGGTCATGCCCATATTAAACATAACGCTAACGCTACAATATACGTCCACATTCCAATTCTGCTTTGATTGACAAGGTACTTTGTCAAGAAGGCTAGGCTTTTGGTTTGTTTAGCGTTGAGGGTCGTGCATCAACATCAATAGTTCCTGTCCTTAGAGTATAACTTATTAATAAGTATACCAAGATAATGCATTCAGAATTGTGCCTTTCACATTCCAAAGGCAAAAAGTGGGCGTGACTCTGCTCCTGGGGGTTGAGACATTCACCAAAATCAATAGTGGACTCCCTAAGGCAATAAGGAATACATATGCCAAGTACCGAGCGGCTTCATTAAGAATTGCGACCTGGGAGTCGGCTAAGCAGTTATCCTGAGGCTATAAGGAATACATAACCCAAGTTTAAAGACGATCCATTAAGAAATGTGCACTACACGACGTAAAGAGAATCCTAATGCCAGTTTGACATTGTTAGACGGAGTTATCTCCTCCGAACCAAGTGAAACCGAAGTCTGAAATTAAATCCCAATCTGACAAAAGTACTTAATATTCTTAAAAGACAAATTATTAATAATAAATTTGGTACTAAATTATAATAACGAATGACACCCAAACATAAGACTTTTTAAAAATGTACATCCTGAAAACGCACATGTACTTGCAGTTACATGAATTTATAATTTATTTAGTGTGAGAGAGAGAGAGAGAGAGAGAGAGACATTGTCATTGCAGTACCAAAAGGTCTTTAGCAGTGGGAGGAAAGGGGGAGAAAACGGTGGTTTGAAACGTCAACAAATAACCGGTATAAATACTTCTAACACTTACAAAGCGTTCTGAAAAATAAGTTGAACAAAGGCTCTCAGAAACCACTCACAAAAACCCGAATGTTACATGGGTGACAACTATTTAAAGCATATCACGTCAGTTTGACATTGTTAAATGGAGTTTGACATTGTTAAATGGAGTTATCTCCCCAAAATCGGGCATGCACCCAAAAGAAAAGGGACCAACCTCAGGGTATAAGGAATATGTATTTTAAGTTTCAAGATGATCGATTTAGAATTGTGGCCTGTAGGCGACACACAAAAAGAAAATTGGCATGGCTCTGCCCCTGGGGGTTGGGCATGTAGGGCCTACTCCAAATGATAAGGATGTTCCAAATGATAGGAATGTTCCTTAGGGTACAAAGAATAAGTATATAAAGTGTGGCTCTGCCCCTGGGGGTTGGGCATGTACCCCAAACGATAGGGATGTTCCTTAGGGTACAAAGAATGTGTATGCAAGATTATAAGTTAAGAAATGTGGCCTGTAGACGACAAACAAACAAATACTAGAAATGGGCGTGGCTCTGCCCCTGGGGGTCGGGCATGCACCAAAAACAATAGGGATCTTCCTTGGGGTATAAGGAATAAGTATACCAAGTTTGAAGAAAATCCAGTAAGAATTGCGCCCTGTAGGCGACACAAAGACACACGAAAAGAAAATGGGAAATGGGCGTGGCTCTGCCCCTGGGGGTTGGGCATGTACCCCAAACGATAGGGATGTTCCTTAGGGTACAAAGAATGTGTATGCAAGATTATAAGTTAAGAAATGTGGCCTGTAGACGACAAACAAACAAATACTAGAAATGGGCGTGGCTCTGCCCCTGGGGGTCGGGCATGCACCAAAAACAATAGGGATCTTCCTTGGGGTATAAGGAATAAGTATACCAAGTTTGAAGAAAATCCAGTAAGAATTGCGCCCTGTAGGCGACACAAAGACACACGAAAAGAAAATGGGCGTGGCTCTGCCCCTGGGGGTTGGGCATGCACCCCAAACGATAGGGATGTTCCTTAGGGTACAAAGAATGTGTATGCAAGATTATAAGTTAAGAAATGTGGCCTGTAGACGACAAACAAACAAATACTAGAAATGGGCGTGGCTCTGCCCCTGGGGGTCGGGCATGCACCAAAAACAATAGGGATCTTCCTTGGGGTATAAGGAATAAGTATACCAAGTTTGAAGAAAATCCAGTAAGAATTGCGCCCTGTAGGCGACACAAAGACACACGAAAAGAAAATGGGAAATGGGCGTGGCTCTGCCCCTGGGGGTTGGGCATGTACCCCAAACGATAGGGATGTTCCTTAGGGTACAAAGAATGTGTATGCACGATTATAAGTTAAGAAATGTGGCCTGTAGACGACAAACAAACAAATACTAGAAATGGGCGTGGCTCTGCCCCTGGGGGTCGGGCATGCACCAAAAACAATAGGGATCTTCCTTGGGGTATAAGGAATAAGTATACCAAGTTTGAAGAAAATCCAGTAAGAATTGCGCCCTGTAGGCGACACAAAGACACACGAAAAGAAAATGGGCGTGGCTCTGCCCCTGGGGGTTGGGCATGCACCCCAAACGATAGGGATGTTCCTTAGGGTACAAAGAATGTGTATGCAAAGTTTCAAGATTATTAGTTAAGAAATGTGGCCTGTAGACGACAAACAAACAAATACTAGAAATGGGCGTGGCTCTGCCCCGGGGGGTCGGGCATGCACCAAAAACAATAGGGATCTTCCTTGGGGTATAAGGAATAAGTATACCAAGTTTGAAGAAAATCCATGAAGAATTGCGCCCTGTAGGCGAACCACAAACACACACACACACACACACACACACACACACACACACACACACACACACATACATACATACACACACACACACACACAGACAGGGGCGACGGCATAATACGTTCACATTATGAATGTGGACGTATAAAAATGCAACAAACATAATGTAAGTTGTAATGTAATTTGGTAATCCATTTAAAGTGTGTATATATGTGCACTGCCTTGTGGGAAGCTAGGATTTGGGGGCGAAAGAGGGCAGCTAGTTAAACAAACACACCAATTCAACTAGTTACTTTTGTGATTTTATTTTCCAACATAATCATAAGGAAAATAAAATCACAATCAGGGTAAATTAATTATCAGTCATAATCACAATATCGTAGCCCGGCTGCACTGTGCTCCAGCACTCACTGTGGCAGAAAAAAAAGTTACATTTGTTTGTTTTTAATACCAGTACCAGTATATAGTTTTATTCTATTCTGTTTCTTGAATCGACCTGAAATAAATTGTCATTGCTTGTAGCCTATAATTATTAAATATTTGTGTATTTTGCTATATATTTTTAGATCATACTGGTAAATGATAGTAGAGATAGATTAGGATTCATGAATGAGTGTACTACATGAGTAAAGTGATATATTGGCTAACCAAATCATGTGAGGATGGTATTCTGTTCATCCACAATAGTAGGCCTACCTCAAAACAATTTACAAAATGACCCTTCCTAGGTTAATAACTGGTGCATGCTGTAGTACACATACACACACAAGTAGAATATCTAGAAGAATAATTCCTACAGTTGTGATATATTGGAAACAGAAATATTCCACAAGATCATCACCAACTGCAGATGTTAAATCTGGAGTGAATTTAGAAAATATTTTTTCTGATAAAAATAAAGAACGTGTGAAGAAGTCTTTGTTATCAATACAACCTGTTCGAACTATAGAGGATATTGTAAAGCCAAAACACAAACCATTGAAGATAAACCATGATGCTGCGGTTATTATACCCCTGTGTGTAGTCAATGATGAGCCCTCTGTATTATTTACACTACGTTCATCTTCACTAAGAAAACATAGAGGAGAAGTCAGGTAGGCTACCGTATATGCTATGATTCTTTTAAATCTCTTTGATTTGCAGACAAGGAGTAGGTTGCCTTTATAACCTTGTGGAATTTCACCAAGGGTTTTGGTTCCCTTTTACTTTTACTGCTAAATGTGCACAGCAAACAAATTATTGATTGGATTGGATGTTAAACTCATTTCAGTTTATTGAATTTTACACCCTTTATGACCTTGTTAACACTTTTGGTTCGACAATGTTAATAGGGTCTTTTTAAAGTTGCTTATTTTATTAAACCGTCTTCATTAGCCCAGTTGGAGCAGAACAACACTAGGACGTTAAATCCCATTTCATTTCATATTAAAAGGAAGATTCGGCTACTTCATTTGATTTGTGGGAGCCATGGTGGCTCAGTGAGTAGGGTGTGGGCTCGCTAACCCGGAGATTCTGTTTGATCCTGCATTGGTCAAGAAAATTCATCAAGATTTTACGGTGTGGTCCCCCCTTGTCAGATGTGTTGGATGGAGGGCCTGGTGAGGGACAACGTATAGTCATTTAAATAGGATGAAAAACAGACATCCCATGAACCCTTTACAATTGGAATTCGAAAAAAGAGTAGGCAATAGTGCCGCTGTCTGGACAAAATTTTCCTCATAGCACACTGCATGGCATATGCTCGTCTTCATTAGCCCAGTAGGAGCATAACAGTAGGATGTTAAACCCCATTTCATTTCATTTGTGAAACCTTAACACTGCCAGAGCCACAAGTGATTTCTACTGTCATTTATTGTCAGTTTTCCAGGTGGCCGTAAAGATGACAGTGATCCAGATTTAATTTATACTGCTGTAAGAGAAACATGGGAAGAATTAGGTATACCTAAAGAAAAGATAGATGTCTGGGGACCATTGTCACCTGCACCTAATAAGGTTTGTAATTGAAAATATTTTGAACTATATTTATAAAGTAAATGCATTATATTGAACTATATTTATAAAATATTAAAGAAGCGTTATTGCTTTCTATAAAAAATATAATAATATGGAACACAGTTACTATTTTAGTGGGGTTGGATGGCCAAATGGTTAGCACGTGCGCGCTGTATCATAGGGCCTGTCATTGAGTCAACTGGAGTGGTTTTGAATCCCCGGTTGTACGTGACAAGGAGTAGGGTCGCCTGTCTAACCTCGTGAGTTTTCTCCGGGTCCTCCGGTTTCTTCCCATAGCTAAAGACCCCTGCACGCAAGTGAATTATTGAAATAAAATTCAAAACCATATGTTAGTCCCAAAATGACCTAGTTTGTGTCGAGTGGACGTAAAACCCCATTCTCTCTCTCTCTCTCTCTCTCTCTCTCTCTCTCTCTCTCTCTCTCTCTACTATTTTAATTAAAGCAACATTTTGTTGAGGGTTCTCTCAACATTATCAATCAAATATAATAATTGTAATCAAATTTGTGTATAATATATTAACAATATTCAAAATAACCATAGATTCATAGTTATTGCAAAAATAATGTGAGCTCCCTAGAACTAGGCATTATGCATGAACATTGGTTGAAACAACTGTCACATGTACAACTCATAAGGAATATCAATATATCTTTACCTTAATGAAATGGCAAATATTTCTAGAATTTTTAGCACATCAGACTAAATTCTAGTCAGTTTATACCAAATCAAAAATTATTTATTATCAACTAGAAAAGATCTCCCAAATTTCTCTATAAAGATGTAAGAGCTAAATCTGACTAATGCAGGTCTTTTGATTGGCCTTACATGTTATATAAAATTAATTAGATAAATATTCACATGCCAAGCCGGGAATACACCATGCAGTGTACTATGAGGGAAATTGTGCCCGGACAGTGGAATTACTGCTTACTTTTGTATTGAATTCCAACTGCCAACCTTGGTTCTTTTGTGTAAACATGACCTTGTTTTTTTTGTCCCATTCGAATGACTATAAATTGACCCTTGCCAGGCCCTGTACCACTGACACGGGGGACCATATAAATCAGGATGAACTTTCTTGGTTAATGCAGGGATCAAACACAAGACCTCCAGGTTAGCAAGCCAATGTTTTACTCACTGAGCCACCATGACTCCCACCGTAGGAAAAATATATGCCTATGTTTTATATTTTGTAAATTTAATGAAGTATTTAATATTCATATTTCAGTATGGAACATCATTTACAACACCAGTATTGGCATATTGTGGTCATATAGATATCAGTAAGCTAGTTCCAAATGAAGATGAGGTAATTTTTAATTTACATTGTATTTCTATTAAGACAATATTTTCATCATTTCATCATTGTTGTCAGTCCATCATTCTGTCCTTCCAGATCCAGGACATTTTTTTGTTTTCGCAGTGCCTTGCTAAATAGAACTGGAAGCTGGGATTCATATAGGTGTATTTTAAAATTAGATAGTTAAAGATCAAGTTCAAGTAGTATCCCAGTCAACCCCCATTTACTAGAGTTATGGCCCTTTAAGTTTTCCAAGCGTTTGAGATATTAAAGTTGTATTATTCATAGTTACATATCAAACTGTGGTCTTATTGACCTTTTTTTCGAGTTAGCTCCATTTTTAGTGCATGTACAAGTACCTTGGTGATGTCTTTTTGATACCAAGACAGAATTGATGAACAAAGCATATTAAATTTAAATGTCTACTAGTCCAGCTTTAAATAATACAGGATATCTTTCTTTAAATGTATTCTTCTCAGTAGATACTGTTAGAATTCAATAGAAATTTTTTACAAGCAGATTAATAAACAATAACACATACTTATGGAAAAACAGCTACTTATCAAGCAAGTACAGGGGGTTGGATGGCTGAATGGTTAGCGTGAGCGCGCTGTATCATAAAGTCTGTCATTGAGTCGACTGGCGTGGTTTCGAATCCCCGGTTGTACGTGACAAGGAGTAGGGTCACCTGTCCAACCTCGTGGGTTTTCTCTGGGTCCTCCGGTTTCCTCCCGCGGCTAAAGACCCCAATGTGCAAGCGAATTATTGAAATTAAATTAAACCATATGTTAGTCCCAAAATGACCTAGTTTGTGTCGAGTGGACGTTAAACCCCATTTCTCTCTCTCAAGCAAGTACAGTAACAAATGTGTAGAGCAACTATAGACAAAGCAATAACAACAAATCAAACCATGCATGAATACAACAATTAGCTTTATAAAGTTGAGAGAACCCTCTTCAAAGAGTCGCCCAGATAAATGAGTAGTTGGTTTTCCATAAAAATGTGTTATAGTTTATAGCTCTATCAGTTACTAAATGCCTCTAAAAGATTAGGACTAGTATAGGTCCTTAAACATACATTATGCAAGAGCTAAATCTGCCTATTGTAGGTCTTTCTTTAGGCCTGAAATGTTATCTAAATTATTAATTACACATTAATTAACTGATTCAGGCCATAATCAACTCTCAATGGCATCAGATTTCTCCGATATTAAATAGATTAGAACAGTTCAGCCATATTTTGATTTAAGTTAAAAATGGAGGAGGGAGACTTAGCTTTGAACAACCAGTACGGTGGTTGAAAATATTGCACATGCTTGTCATACCTTCAAAGGCTAATATTTTCACTCGCAATAGAGTAATTTGAATGAAATTTTCAAATTATTCATTTTACATTATCTAGTTTCAAACTATTATAGTAAGAACAGCTAGCTATTTATCTAAATCTCACATCTTTGAATAGTTGAATAGTTGCCAAGTATTCCTGTGAGGGAGCAAAAGTATTGGGCAGTCCAGTGCTAAAGGGTTAAGCTGATTCTGTTTTACTTATTTTGTAATATTTATATTCAGGTAGAAGTTGTATTCACAAGAACAATAGAATCTATTATAAAGAAAGAAAATATTGCTTCTACACAATGGAAATATGGACGGGGTTATACTATGCCTGTATTTATTGGCGGAGAATATAGAATATGGGGCTTGACAGCCATATTTTTGCATCAAGCTTTAATTGTTTTAGCGCCTGGCTTATATACAAATAAAGTCAGGCATAATCCCTGACAAAAATAGAATATAGGCCATTTTAGAAAAGTAAATTACCTGTAAGATTTCCCAGAAAATATAACTATTGGACATGTATATAGTAATTGATGAATTTACTAATTTACTAATTATGTGAAACAAGTTTGTTAATTGTTTGTGTGGAATAATATTATATATTGACTTTATTTATGGGTGATAGGAAAGAGTATAAAAGAAATATATTTGTAAAAAAATTTAATATTGAATAAATGAAGTTATTTATTTTTAGTTCTTCTACCTTTCTTTATGAAACCCACAAGTAGGACCCCTACCATGAGACAATAATTATTGGATAACTAGGCAATTCCACTTTTAAATCTTTTACTAATAACAACATTATGTTGGAATTTTCACCAATTTCTAGGGGGGTTGGGTGGCTGACTGGTTAACATGTGCGTGTTACATCATAAGCTCTGTCATTGAGTCAAGTGGCGTAATTTTGATTCCCTGCTTGTACATGACAAGGAGTAGGGTCGCCTCTCCAATCCAATCTCATGGGTTTTCTGTGGGTCCTCTGGTTTTCTCTCACTGCTAAAGACCCCTATGCTTAAGCGAATTATTGAAATCAAAATTGAACCATATCTTAGTCCTGAAATGACCTAGTTTGTGTTGAATGGATGTTAAACCCCAATTTCTGTTGTAGCATAGATTGGGGTTAATTAATTAAAACAAACTTACTTCATTTGTTACTTACTTACTTACTTTCTATCTTATTTAATATGTTACAGATCATTATATGATGTACCTCAAGGTTCGGTTCTGGGGCTAGCTAATTTTTCTTGGTTTCTTGATAGTTTGCAATTAATCTCCATCATAATAACAGAGCATCTTATTACAACCATTATCTATAAATATAGACCTACCAATGACCAGGAAGGGAATACTGAGGTTTTCGTTGGCACCTATTGTCAATGATACCACCCACAGTAATGATATGGTACAGAATATGTTTTACCAAGATAAAACATGGACCTAAAGTACTTTATCAGAAGAAATGCACAATGAATAAACCTGCTTTTAAAGATATTCCTGAATTAAATGGCCTTTTACTTAAAGCCTGTATTACTGGCCTACACTGAACATTACATTACCTAAACTGTCTTATATATCCTGGGATTTCAACTACGTGTTAAGGTCACTATTAAGACCACCACATCTCTCTCTCTCTCCCCCCTCTCTCTCTCTCTCATTTTCTTGGCCTTGATATATGTATAATAATGCTACTCATAATTTCCTTCTTTTTTTTCTCCCTAAGTAATCACTAGCCTTTTTCTAAACATTATACTAATCACTGAATGAATAAAGGCACTTTTATTTCACATGTGTAAAAAAAATCTACATGTCATTACCATTATAAGTAAACGGCCTTTTCTGTTAAAGCCATTGACCGATCGTTCACCTATATATGACAAAACTCAAAAATGTCTACTATTCAGAGTACATTTTCTTTAGAAGTGGTCTCAGGTGTATGGAAATCGTCTTCAAACTCAAAATTTTCGGCGCTTCGTGGTCAGTCAAGCCGGAACATCCCCCACCCCTTCCCACAGACACACCCTGCTCATTTTTCTGCACCAACCAGTCTAATGAAGGGTTCCTGCATGTGCAAGCAGTTACGTACTCGGGAAAATCCACAGGAACTCTCGTTTCCAGCAGCTGGGGCTCCCTATTGAGGCAGATTATAGGACTTTTGAGTACCAAAAGACCGTCATGAAAAATGGACTGGCGTGTCTGTGATATCACCATAGGATGAAGCGGCCATTAACTCCTACGAACGATAGGACAGGCTGTCACAACACAGAATTATTATTACCCTATTTAGCTTATAGAGATAAAAATGACAGTTTGAAAACCATAGAAACCAACGTAAAATAATCGATTTGAATAGTGTTCTTTTTTTTAAAAAAAAATAAATAAATAAAGTACTTTTGATTGTGTATTTAACATTTTCTCTGGCATATTAAGGCGGTAAAGATAGGAGAGCACACGAACTAACTCACTGTCTAAACCAGTTCAGTCCAATTTTGTGTGCCAGCTAGTCGCTTGCCTATTAACATAGATCGTTAGTTAATCACTGTAATTAATATGAAATGTTCATAATTGGGAAAGTGACAATTGACCCCATGCTGTTATATAATACTATAAGCCATTCATAATTGCATAGTTTAGTCATTTACCAACGGATTCCAGAATAGTAGCATTTTTAATTTAACGTATCCAGCAGTGCAAGACACACATATGGGTCCACCGAGTTTTTATATTTCAAAATTGGGTTTATTCCACGTCTTAATTTGATGCCATAAGTTCAGGAGTTGAACGTTTGATACAAAACTAATAAGATGCTGCCCCACTCTTCTGTCCAGCACTTAAAGGCAGTAGCTCTCGACCTTTTTTTGGAAACAGCACACCCTAGAACACATGAAAAAATAGCGGCAAACCTGGATAAATATATATGAAAAATATCTGAATTTTGCAATATAAAAACATGGCAAGTCATAGACGGCATACAACCGTACACACAGGCTAGTCATAGAAACATACAATGACTCAAACTAAATAAAGCAAAACACAGCTATGAACGCCCCAATAGACACTAGTGAATACTCAATTGGGATCAAGTGGTTTTTCGCATTTTCTTAGTGTGCTTTTCAAAATTTCGCGGCACACGTAAGAAGATCTCGCGGCATATGGGGCGCCGTTTGTAAAATAATTATTTAATTTTTTTTATAGTAAAAACATTAGATTTAACTCCGAATATATATATTTAGATAAATATTAGAACAAAAATGGCATATATGTAAATATCAAAAAATATTGTAGCTAAAAGTCGAGTTTTTGGTCTATGAAAAACTTTAAATGTTATATCTTGATTTCACATCGCTTAGTTAAATATATAGCTACATTTGCTGTTTTTCGTAGGTATAAATACTAAATCACTGAAAAATCTAAAGTTAAATATTTAGCTAAATATATAAACATTTAGCTAAATATATAAACATTTAGCTAAATATATAAACATTTAGCTAAATATATATATTTAGTTAAATATATAAAAATTTAACTAAATATATAAACATTTAACTAAATATATATATTTAGTTAAATATATAAACAGTTAACCAAATATATAAATATCATGCTAAATATATATGTTTAGCTAAATGTATAAATATTTAACTAAATATATATTTGTGGTCCCGCCAATATTTCTATTATCGTAAGCGACACAAAAAACTGCGCATAAAATGATGACGTGTACCCGACACGTGAGCCTTGGCACAATAGGCCTGCTATTAGGCATTATTAACGAATTGCGGGTGTAAGAACTAAGTTGAGCGTTCAGGTACCAGATTGTACTGTGTTGTGCAGTCAGTGGAAAGTTGTACACTACGTCATCGTTTAGTGTGAAGTCGCTTACAACAATAATTATTTTACAAACGGCGTGGTGCGGTTGCGCTTTGTAAATTTAACTATATGTTTAGCTAAATATATAATTATTTAGCTAAATATATAAATATTTAGCTAAATATATAAATATTTAGCTAAATATATTATTTAGCTAAATATATTATTTAGCTAAATATATAAATGTTTAACTAAATATATAAATGTTTAACTAAATATTTTAACATTTAACTAAATAATTTAACATTTAACTAAATATATATTTAGCTAAATGTTTAAACATTTAACTAAATATTTAGCTAAATATTTATATATCATCAAATCTCTTGTTTTGGTCTTAATATTCAATGCTAAATGTTAAATATGAAAATAGAGACAAATCAAGAAATATTTATATATATTTTGTTAAATATTGAGTTTTTGTTGTATTTTTAGTTTAAATATTAAAAGTGAAAAATTTGCACAAAAGTCGAGATTTAACTATATATATAAATTTAAATTAAATCTAGTGTTTTTTGCTATTTAAAAAGCTAAATAATTAGTTTACAAACGGCGCCCCATACATACTGGTTGAGAATCACTGACTTAAAGGGGTTAGGTTTAAATATTACGGCCATCTGCAGATTTCGTCATGGTCGCGAGATGTAAACAGGGCTAGTGTTTACCCTAGCCCTTACCTTAACACTCAATCTCGTCAACAATCACGTGCCCTAACCCTATTTACATCTCGCGACCTTGACGAAATCTGCAGGTGACCTTAATATTTAGAGCTAGCGAATACTCAAGGGTGAACGTAGTTTGGGGCCCTTTTTTCTTAGTTTAGGGGGGCCTGGGTCTTGCAGGGTCTTGGCACGATTACAACACGCTAAATTTGTGTATAAGCTAAAAACATCATGATGTAATCCTGAAAGCAGCAGTTCTGGTCAGTTTTTCCAACAACAAAAAATCGGTCCTAACAAGGCGCTCGGTCAATCCCTGCAACTACTGCAAAACAAATTATCATCCATATATTTCCCAATGGTTTCGGTAGCTTGTCCCGCTACCAGGGCCGTAACTAGCCCCGAGCAACGAGGGGGCGGGAAGTGTTCTCGGGGGTGCTGTAATATTGACGGACAATGTATATCTATTTTTTTATGATCGAAATTTTTTACAGTTCATAGACTATTTGTGTTTCTTGTGTTCTTTTCTGATACATTAACACAAGTTTTTTTTTTTGTTTTAGCACAAGCTCTTCAAGAGTATTTAGCTGGTCAGTTCACAGGACAGTTAACTTATTAACTGGTTAACGTATAAATGTGATTAACGGGTTAATAGAAATGAAAAATACGCGTTTTAACAACTCTGTAACGTCAAATGCATATTCGGCTGGAAAATCATTATTCAGACCCATGAAGGGGCCTAATTCACGCAAAATATCATTTGGAGACCACAGTGCCATTCAAATAGATTAATTAGCTCTGGTACACTGTGTTACTATAACTATATTTATATATCTTTAAAACATCCCCAATACAAAGGTTACATACAGGAAACTACACACACAGCTATAACTTTAAATATAAGCTAATAACACATGACACAATTCTATGGAATACAAGATATTTGAAGGGTTCATTTCAGCGACGTTTCGACGAGGGTTCCCCCGTCTTTATCAAGCAAAGAATGACAACCATGCAATGCTAAATATAAGTTCACTATCAGAGTAACGCTCTTCTTTCTAAGGCTATATGATGATCTCTATCTCGGCCTCTAAGCCGAGGCGGCTAAAGATATTTCTCCTTGGAAAACCGCATGATGTATCTATCGCAGTTTCTAAGCCGAGGAGGGTGCGGGAACGTCTTTCTGTGAATACTAAAGTGATGTCTGTAAGTAGATTCGGCTATACGTCCCTCTAGGAACGCCAATGATGCGTGAAAATACTTTTTGATAGATTACATGATGTCTCTATCCCGGTCTCAAATGATGTCTCTATCCCATCCTCTAGGCCGAGGAGGCTGTCGGAACACCCTTCTAAGAAGCCCACATGATGTCTGAAGTAATTTTGACCGCGCTCTTTGTTTCTCTATAAAGCGTATAGATATGTCAGCTATAAGGGCGGGGCAATTACCGCTTTTGGGTAAATGTTTCATTTTGGCACCCGTTTTCATCCACTTTATCTTAATTAATTGGACTAATCTGTACACCAGATGGCTGGACAATAAGTAAGCCACTTCCAGAAATAGATGATGGCAGAATTGTCAGTGGGTTAGTGTAAGAAAGTTGTAGAATAATTCAAGTTACATATAGTTAGACCAGTTCTTGTTGTCACTGTTAGCAAACGTCCACTCGGCAAACCTCAACAGATTCCAGTACCCTACATCTAATCTCGGCTGTATGACAAAGTCCGCCATTAGAACTACTTTCAAGTTCCCGGATTACAATGGCGTTGTCCATGACGACCAATGACGTCATTGATGACGACGTATTTGAAGAATGTTTTATCTTACAAAATTTTCAAAGTTTGAAGCTGTTTTTCTTTCAAGTTTATCCGATTTTCTTTAGACAAGGACAAATTTGCACTGAAAATTCTACACACTCTTCGAACGACGCAATTTTGAGAACTTCTTTCTAAACGCGGGCAAGTTTCCCTTATAAGTAAACCGGTGCCGCATCGCAAATGTATAGGCGTAGGTACATATCACTTACTGTCATACAGCCGAGGCTAGATGTAGGGTACCGGAATCTGCCGAGGTTTGCCGAATGAGCAAACGTCTTCAATGCATTAAACAGAGCAGGTCTGCGGGATCGGGCTTCGAACTAACTAGCAATCTGATTTAAACACAGACCCTATTTCGTTTCGTTTTTACTGTTCAAATGTCGTTTTACTTGTCTTTACTATACTAGGATCTGGAAGAGTTGTTATATAAGCCGCGTTTTGGTTGATGTGAGGGACTAGCCAATGAAACGGTCTGTTTCGGCGAGTTCTTGGCGTGATGTGCACGGAACTATGGGTAAACCACCAGAAACGTCAACGCTGATTGATTAATCAATGTCTGACGTCATATGGTCAAAAGCCGCTCGTATGATCACGGACGCGACCTTTCACAACAACCGACAAGATTTTCAGGTAGTGTAGGCCATCGAAAGTATAAAAAACGAAACGAAATATAGATCTGTATTTTAATCAGATGAACTAACTTGGTCTCCAGTCTCCGACTCGGAATAAAAGGTACATTTGTTTTTAAACGTTTTCCCACCAAAATGCCACCTAAATCCTGGATTTTGGTAGGAGCTATGTACAGTAAACGACTGCCAAAACTATCAAAAATGACTCGTCGGTTCCTGGCTACATGTACGACTTTAGCATAGTCCGGCATATGGACTTCGAACAAATGCGCATGTCTCCTTTGAAGGATACAGCAGATACATATACAATTGTATTCTTGCATGAAATTGATGGTTCCTATTAAATGTTAAAGAGTCCAGATTATGATCAAGTATAAGTCCGTTTAGTCTCTGAAATAGATTGGGGACGAAAATGACCAAGTTTGAGGAGCTTCGATAATAAACTCATTTTAACGAGTTAACCAGTTAAAAGAAATTTTAACTTGCTCTCAGTCCTGCAGGTCATATTAACCATTTTGTTATGCGTTGTATATGAACTGTGTAAGAATTTTGATTTAGTTATGTATTGAAATATACTCTTCAAATAAAGTAGGGGATATTGAAATGCGAATACCTATGGAGGTTGTGATATGATAAATAGTCATGGACACGTGACATGCTTTGAGAGTATGTTCACAGATGAAGAACTTATCGCCCCAACAGAACCACTGAGCTGCACATGCGACACGCAATAGCGCCATACACGTGGGAGGGGTTCATTGTCAAATTTGACACTTCAAGGAAGGGTTGATGAAAACTGCCGCGTCTGGTTTATCTATCCATGTTTGCTTTCCTATCGGTTCTTGCATAAGATTTACTGTTTAGCATATCTTTGCTTTAGTGTGTTACGTTTAATTTGATCGGGAGACGTGTTCGTCGACGTCAACGTCAACCGACAACACTGCAAGAATTAGCCGTGGCACTGCCCCAAATCGTGATTGGACGGTTGATTATGAGCATGCCACGACGAATTGCTGAATGTCTGAGGATTGGTGAAGCAATTACTCATTATTAAGACAAAAATCAAAAACGTCCATTTTCACTTTTGACGGCGTATCTCTTTGCGAGTGAAATGGGGCCGTTAGATAAGCCGCCCATGTGAACTGTTTATGTTCATGTGTAGGCAATTGGCCTGTTATTAACATATACTGGTTACCTCAAATAAAAACAGCAGCGCATTTTCGCAGTTTTGTATTGTTTCTGAATATCCCCTACTTTTTTTGAAGAGTATATATTATTGATAACAATAGTCTGTCGGAGTCATAGATGTTCAACATAGATTATTGTAAGGGTTGTTGGTCTATGTCATCAGGTGGGTTGGTGAAGGTGCAGCTGTGGGAGAAGAAGAATAAGAATCGACCGGTCTGTTTCCATTCGACCTTAAATTGGCACTATCGCTTTTCAGATCTTCGGTGGTTGTTAAAATATAATTTTCGAGCCATCGGTCATCACCCAGATACAGACATTTTAATATTCAATGATTGAGTGGTTGCCATGATTTCCGTTTTTGTGAATAAGGTCTCCAGACTTACGACCAGAATGCCCAACCGACATCAATACCCTTAAAAGATTTCAAAAGCACGTTATGTGTCGTGAGTGCGGTAGTCGAGTGGTTAGGGATACAGAAACACCACTAAAATATTTCGACTTTCAATGGCATAGATAGCGAAAACAAACTTGAAATTTCCAACTTGTCAGGCTTACATGTAAAAGTACTCTCGACACCTTGGATTCCTAAAGAGTAGAAGGAAACTCACTTCCAGGGCAAAATTCTCCCCTCTAGTATTTCAAACTGAAACAACAGCTAAAATTATTCTCCATTCATCTGTTGCCCGACACCCATATCCCCGTCTGTTTGATCCAAACAATTCCCCAATTTTAAAGCAGAATGTTGTTGAACATACGTACAATCTAGGGCCGTTTGCTCAAAACTAAGTTATTTTAACCTTCCGTTAAACTCTAACAGATCGTTATCTTGCTAACGTGTCACGTTTGTTAACGGTCCGTTAAATTTCTGTTGTTGGAAAGTCAATTCCATTATCCGTTGGCAAACGGACTGATTAAAGTTAATCCAAGAGAAGACTGTTCATTGGCTGAATTTTAAAATTTTAAATTCAATGTATATGTATAACAACTTCATTGACTGAAGACTGAAGACAGTTGGACAAATGTGCAGCCTGTTCACAAAACTTGATTAAAGACAAACAGATAACTGTAGAATTTACTACAGAAAACACTATAAAAAAACTATAGAATTCTTAATTTATTTTATCTTTAGAAATTTGAGCATAAATCTAGGAAAAATTATGGGATTTGCACTACAGAAACTTATAATATTTGGGGCCATCATTTCCTGCAGGCCCCAGAAATTCTGTAAAATACTATAGAATTTCATCCTATAGAAAATGGAATAGCCGCCCAGCGCCAACAACTATGACTTGTTACTTTTTATTAGGGTATACTTTGACTGGCAGACGACTAATGCCACCGTTAAACCGATAACGGAGCCCAACACCTCCATTAAATATAACGGCAATTTAACGACATGTGAAAGTTAACGGGGCTTCCACTTCCAGACTTTCTCTCCGTTAAAGATAACGATTCATTAACTCCATGTTAACGAGTCGTTAAAAGTTGACGAAGCTTGGAACAACCGGCCCCTGGTCTATATTAATCTAAAACAAAGTTACAATCATGAAAGAATATCTTTATTATATGATAAAATGTGCAGAATAAACATTAACATGTGGAACTTAACTGGATAGACCTAGAGAATATAGGGTAACATGTGAAACTTAACTAATAAAATATAAATCGACCTAGAGAATATAGGCTAACATGTGAAACTTAACTAATAAAATATAAATAGACCTAGAGAATATAGGGTAACATGTGAAACTTAACTAATAAAATATAAATAGACCTAGAGAATATAGGCTAACATGTGAAACTTAACTAATAAAATATAAATAGACCTAGAGAATACAGGTAACATGTGAAACGTAACTGATAAAATATTGGCACTCACAGAATACAGGGCAACATGTGAACTTAACTGATGAAATATAAATAGGCCCAGAGAATACAGGGTAACATGAGGTAAATCATAAATACTGTAAATTTCTTGTATTAGAAATGGTCATAACAGACCTTTGGAACCGACGGTTAAGGATTTAATCCCTAGTCGAGTATCGGCCACTCTGGTGGACAGCAGTCTGAATTGTCACGCCTTTTAACTAAGAGCAGTATTTAATATTTTCGAATGTTTATCAACGATTTTAGTTTAAAATTTCGGGTCGGGGTTTTTCGTTTCGATTCTCAGATTGCCTTTTATGGGATCCTTAAAAATTCAATTGGACCGTGTTAAAGTTTTTGGATTCGACCATCTTCGATTCGTTTGGGGGAGATTAGTGATCCGATAGACTGCTGCCAATAAGACATTTAAAGCGATGAATGTTTATAATATTGTCTTTGACCATCCAGTAGTATGGTCACATCTAGAGTGCATCTAACTGATCTAAAACGACCTACAGGGTGATAAATTAAACATTAAAGACTAAATATATACATATACTAGCACCGAGATTAACCTTTTTATAGAATATATATTAGTGATAATCGGGACTAAAGCCCTCTCATTTTTTTGGGACTAGATCAAAGAAGTGGTGCTATTTTAAGATAACATAGTACTGTTGCACCTTAACCAAGCGCACATTGGTTCCAAACTTCTTGAATGGTGGGTTATATTAGACGTATATCACAATGAATTGAGAAATAGCTAAGCGTCTTGAGTATTGAGTAATGCATATGTCGCCTAAAGGCCAGTTCACACCATGGATTATTTGTGGGTAATTCATTGTGGCGAGAAAATAACGCTGATGGTAAAACATCTTCGATTTCGATTTAAATTTGCATAACAAATCAAAGACTTTAAATATGTTCCACTCAAATAATCCTTGGTGTGGGTTGCCCTTTATTAATCCTTTCGTTCGAAACAAATTTATGAAAGAAATAAAAATCTTTAGATTAAAGAAAAATAGACGAATTCACAAAATCTACTCTCGCATTTTCGTTGCAATTTCATCATCTAATATAGCCGCCTCATCTGTATTCCCTTCTGCTATAAGTTGACGACGTTTGGCCTGAAGTTCAGAAATTTCTTGCACTCGCTGTTTCCTTTCCTTTATTTCTTCGTCCCATTTTTTCATCATTTCATTTTTCTGAACTTCCAACAAGCGGTTAATTTCAATTCTTTCGGCGTCCATTCGAGATAACAATTCCAATTTTGTCTGTCCCATTGTATGGAGGAATTTGTCTAGTTGTCTTTCACGATTTTCGGAATGAAGTTTGGACATTTCCAGATGTTCCAGTTGTAATTTGACAATATCGGATTCACCTTTCTGGACGTCTGACATATTATATTCGACTGACCCTAAACGTTCATATAATTGCTCCACGCGTTTTTCTATCTTAGCTCCCGTTCGTTCAATGTGTTTTTTCATCATGTCTTCGGCAGCATCTGAAAATACACAAGTTGTATATTAGAACACAAATCTAAAATGGAATTTTGGAAGCGGCAAGATATGTTCCCTTCCGAAAGAGAGAGTTAGAGAATGGGGTTTAGCGTCCACTCGACACAAGCTATGTAATTTCGGGACTAACATACGGATCAATTTTATTTCATTAATTCGCTTGCGCGTAGGCGTTTTAGCAGTAGGAGGAAACCGGAGGACCTAGAGAAAACCCACGAGGTTGAACGGGTGACCTTCTTCTTGTCATGTACAAGCGGGAAATCGAAACTACACCACTTGACAAATGACAGACCTTATATAAGTAGCCTACGACGTATGTTAACATCCCCGACAAAACAACTCCGAACTTGCATCCATGCATCCTCGTTTAAATGACATTTGCTGATAATAATTAATCTTAAAATACCCGTTAAGTTCGACAATTTGGTAAGGGTTAAAAGCAGATTTCGTCACGAGATGTAAATAGAGTTAGGGAATGTAATTGTTGATGAGATTTGTTATGGTTAGGGTCCCTAGGCCTTACCCTAATTCTTATTCGAACCCCAACCCTATTTACATCTCTTAACCTATGACGAAATCTGTAAGGGTTCTGAGCTTTCATTCCTAACCGCATGTCTTTCAAGTAAAAGAGTGATAAAGACTACCATTCTTTCTCTCCTTAACTTAAAAAAAGGCATACCCGACACACTCGCCAATTTCTCATATATCGCGTAGTGATAGAATAACACGATATGTGATATGTCTCAACGCTAAAAATCCATTTTGTAAGCGCCAAATCGTCCTATTGCAGGCATCTATTGTGGCTTTAAAATTAATGCTATATAATTAGTCATTTATTCACAAGACAAGTACATAACCTACATCAACTATCTAGGTTATCGGATGGCCGAGATACTGAATGGATTAGACCACTCGCGCCATTTCCTAATTTAACATTCAAATGGATAATCTTGACTTTGTTTATTGTCGTAGCAACACAGTGGTACTTGACAATCGAGACTATTTAGACTACATTATCTATTTTTAAATACTATAGCAATGTAATTCTTACATTGTGCGACTTTATTTGTTTTTAGTCTGTACAAATACTAGTCTGTCTGCTAATATGTCTCTCTTTCAACAAAAAAAAAATGATATAAACGTCTACGTGAAATATACCGTGTATGCCGACTTACAGTAATAGATTAGTTTAAGCCGTCTCGATTTATGAGTTTCGTCAATTCGTAATTATATAATTATGCATAATTAACGAATATGATAAAGTAGGTAATGGTATTAAATAGCACTTGGTAACTTAATCCCTGGGGTTAACAGATATTAACCCCAATTATAAAGCCCACTATAGTAAAAAAAATCTCCCTGAGAATCACGGAATAAGGAACTGACTCACTAACCAAGAGATCTCGGGTTCAAGCCCGATGTATGCCGAGAGTAAGTCCTTCGGGGTTTTCGGATTGGACGAAAAATCGAGGTCCCATGTACACGCCAGAAAAGACCATATTCATTTCATTTCACAGAACTCACAAATTTATTAGCTAAATAAACTCCAATAAAGTAGTTGTTATTTGTTCATTGTAGTTACTAGTTACATTTTACATTGATGGTACACGCCAGAAAAGACCATATTCATTTCATTTCACAGAACTCACAAATTTATTAGCTAAATAAACTCCAATAAAGTAGTAGTTATTTGTTCATTGTAGTTACTAGTTACATTTTACATTGATGGTATTAATATGCCATAAATTAGGCCATTATTATTATTTGAAGTTCCATCATCCTGCCATAATTTATATTAACTTAAAGATACATTCTCACTATAATAGTTAAAAACTAGATAATGTAAAGGCAATTTGCTGAAAATGTCAGTCAAATTGATCCACTACATTGAAATTTCGGCCTTGTCTCGATCATCATTGCTAAAGTCGGTACGATAAAAAACATAGTCTCGATTATTCATTTTATGATTTAATCAGAAATGAAAGTTGAGCAACAAATCGGATCATAATCCAATAAATATCGCAGCCTAGCGTTGACATCGAGAGTTGATTATGGTCTGGATAAGTTAATTAATGTCTAATTAATAATAATTAAGATAACATTTCAGGCATAAAGAAAGACCTGCAACAGGCAGATTTAGCCCTTGCATAATGTATGTTTAAGTTAAACGATATGTGTTAAATAATAATGATAATTTATTAATTTATAATGCGCCCCAAATCCACTAAAACTGTTCGATAGGGCGAAAACAATAATGAACGATTCACATAAAATAATAAATAAAATATTATAAATTATTAACGGTAATAAAAGTTAGATTATTATCTATTCAATATCGAAATTCAATAATGTTTAAACCAGTATGGTATATATATAAATATGGTTAAATATAATTAAACATTTCATTTTCAAAAGCACCTAATGATGACGTTGTCCTATCGAACGCTCGCATTTCCCCATATGAGACTAAAATCGTCAATCCTGATGTAGTGAAATTGCATTAATCATCTAAATCGAAATATGCAAATGTATTATTTTACCATTGCTATTTTTCACGTTGTTTAATGAAATCAAAACATACTTTAAACATCTGCATGGTGTTCATAATGTTTTGGCAGAGATTAATATTTCGCCATTTGCAACAGGATCGTATACTTTAAACTTACCATCATTGCCTTCTTCTTTTTCGCGTTCAGCTTGTCTAACGTACCTTCTTATTAATATACACATCAAATCCTATCAATAAAAAAATCATAAAAGTTGGTGTCTCATATAACTGTGTCAGTTTTGTTTTAAGACCCGTCTTGATTAAGTTGACAGATTTCGAACTTCATGTCATACAGTACAACAATAATTTGGTCTCACTATGGAATTGTCACAGAAGGCCTGGCTATCAAGCCCTTAAAACTATTTGAATTATTCAATCATTAGGGTTGGTTTCCGTAGTTTGCGACAGTATTATTAATTTTAATATTAAGCTGTCGGTGATAAAAATGAACTTGTTAGATATGGTGAATTTGTACCTTTTAATTTGTTAATGCATTCGCAAAGAATAAGAAATTTAATGGAAACAAGAACCTGTACATAGCGTTTAAAGACAGCAATGAACCAATCACCAACGAAAGACTGCAAACAAATGTCATTGAGCTCATATTTCACATATTTCAGCAAAACTGCAATAAGGGAATGACCCTTCATCTTGGAAAAAAAGCTTCCCAAAATAAACCCAAAATCACACGTTGATGTGAACCTTTCTTTAAAGCACGAAGCAATCAGACTGCACAGTGAACAAATAAAAATCGAAGCATCGCATTAACTCAATGTTCTGGATTTCGGAAGGAAGGAAAAGCATCATTAATACCACAGGGAAAGTGGACAGCCCCTACAAAACCTGAATTGTTTCATAACTAACGCATATAAATGATTAGCAAGAAACAGAAATAAACGTTTGGTAAACGGCTGAATAACCGAAATCTCGAAATAGCATGCCTAACACCCAATCCACCAATCTTTGGTATCTTGGTAGCCGCTTGATTCAGGCATGTCACTATAATCCACGTGCATGCTGATACATACGAACTTCGTACTTCGCCTCTAGTTAGATTTTTAAATTTATGATTCATTACCATAGAAGATCCATGACTTTGGCTATCAGTTTCTGATAACTCGGTAGTTTCATCATCCTGTAACAGAAAACGATAATTCGCACTTACACTACAGTCTTTGTTTTAATTAGTTTCTCGCGGAAGTACGACCACCTTGAATTATCCTATCTTTATTCACAATATGCTGTTATCATCATACAAATACTAAAAACAGCTCCGCCAATCATTTTAAAAATTAATTCTGTGCTCGGATACAATGAATCTTGTTTTTTTGTTACAGACCAGAAAAACGAATAAACAATTCTTATATCTAAATATTAAAATATTCCTGATAAATATATAGGTAAACATTGGTCGAATATTTCAGCAAGTATCCTCATCTATCTATTGAATTACAACAGCATAACATAAATTTCTTATAGCTGTGCTATAGCTATGTTGTTAACTATACAATTCACACCACAGGTATCAGATATGACATGGTTATAAATAACAAATAAACATATAATTTATACAAATCCGCGATATCACCCATGTGGTAGTATATAATTAATATATTATGTAGATTATTATCCATTTTATTTTTGTCCAGATAAATATTTGCAAGCATAAGTCAGGAACGTTGTTAAAGTATATTAATTCAGTAATTCATGGATTTTCGTATTTAAATATATACAGTTGGGCGATTGACAGTTTATTATGTTATAAATAATGCCCTTATATTTAGTACAACAGCTCTATTTTGCTGCATATTATAGGTCTATGAATAAATATCAAAACAATTATATCAATTACTATTGACATGTGTTAATATTAATATAGTGCTATTAGTGTTATTAATGAATAGGTGATATATAGGTCAAAAATTATCCCAAAGAATACACTATGCAATAAATTACAACACTATAAGCTATTAATGAACCTCGCGGAATGAGGGACAACAAACAGCCACTATCTACTAAATGACAAAAACACATACACAATATGCAAAATGTTAAAGATTACTAGCAACAAATTCATTAAACAACAATTAGTTCTAGACAAGCACACATACACTGAAAACTATTATATATAACTATTGTATATTTATATAACTAATAATGCCTAGAGTTGTGCTTCACTTGTAGTTGTTCCTATTAAATCAGGTTTTTGCCTTTAAGGCGGGGGCGGGGGTTTTCGTGGTTTAACGCGTGGAGTCTTTGGTACAGATTTGGGACCGCGGTTAAAAATGCTGAAAACCGGGGCGTTAAATCATCAGGATTTAACATTGAGTCAAGTGGCGTGATTTCGATTCTCCGCTTGTACGTGACCCTCTTGGTTTTTCTCTGGGTCGTCCGGTTTCCATCCACTGCTAAAGACCCCTACGCGCAAGCGAATCAATGAACTGCAATTGAACAATATCTTAGTCCCGAAATGACCTAGTTTGTGTCGTGGACGATAAACCCCATCACTCTCTCTCTCTCTCTTGAAGCACAATAACACTATGTCTAGTAAAATAATATTATTATGGTACCATGGTCCATGACAGCCATCCGCCGTACTCCCATCATCAAATCTATCAGTGCATATTTAATTATCCTGCTCTAATCTCTTTGGTCGGTCCTTTAAAACGCAATAATTTTACTTCTTGAGAATGGATTTTGATCAGACCTGATAAATACCTTCATGTGGTATTTCCCGCTAATGTGTTGGGCCTTTTTTTATAAAATAAACAAACAAATGAAATCATATGGGGCTTAACGTCCTACTGTTCTGATCCAACGTAATACAAAGATGACAGATAGATAACATTGTCTGCAATACGTATGAGATATTTTGTACTGAAAAAGCAGAACTTCCATTTGTTACTCAATGTTTAACGCAACCATGATTAATTTGTTATGTAATTCAAGTACATGTATGTAAATCATTTGTTTTATAATATAATGGTAGCACATATAATATAATGCAATAGTGATTATAGTCTATATATAATTGTTTGATTAAGTATTTAGCTATGATACCCCCACACCGAAAATCACAACAGAGTACAATCCTTACCATGGCATAGTCTGAAATTTGCGACCTTAAGCAGTGTTTTCGTAAAACAAATTACGACAAATGTGGTGTTCGACAAACGTTAATGATCATTTACATATCCATTTTTCAGAAACGCAGCAGAAACGAGAGAACATGACTAATATAACAAAACCTATATTATTTGATAATTGTGTAATTTCAGAAACAGCTGTCGACTTTGGTTTGCAAAATGTTGATTTTAGGTAATAATTGACTTTAGAACTAAGCATTTTAAGTCAAGTACTAATACATGTACTTAAAATGTCTTTAATAGGTTACTGACACCATGATCGCTATCTGAATTTAGAGCCTTCTTTGAGACAAAATTATTATTAACTCTAGGCGCGGATTCTTAACGTTTTGGAGGAGAGAACCACGACGTAAATATTCTAGCAAAGTCATGCGAAACTTTGTTATATTCTTTGACCCCCGCCTCCATCTTCCACACAATGCCATCAAAAACTGACAAGAAAGGGCGATTTGCCTTGTAATCGACAAGTTTTTAGTATATTCATGTATTTAATTGTTTGGGGTATTTTTTTCGATAAATAGTGTCCTTTTTAATTAGTGTGGATCTAAAGAATAGAGTGGAATAAACCCCTGATGACCCACCCATTCCCACCCTCTTGATCAAAATTGTATTTAGAACTGCACCTGGTCATCGTAGGTAGATAGATAACTGGAATATTGTGCCGATGATGATGATTTTTATACACACACTAATAATGCACATCACAAAATACACACAAGATGCAAGACCATGCTCCTATAATATATACACCAACTTGTTAAACCAGTAAATGTATAATAACAGAACAAGCTGTAAGATACGCGATTCAAAGACCAAGTTAGAATGGGTCGCATACCTCAATATAGTTTCAACGAAATGTTACACAAATATCTCGATATAATAAGCTCAAGCTGTAATACTGCTATATCTAGTCTAACATTACTTACCATGATGATAAATAGATAACTAGCACATTATACAAAAAACATACTTAGAACACATCGTAAAAGACGCATAAGAAACATGCACTTTGTGGTCGACCTTATAATCTCAGTTTTGTGACGCTTTAAATCTACTAAAAGACGGTTCCGTTTTCGTGTATTTCTATTGATCTACATGTAGGTTAAATGTCTCCATAAACGCACTCCGGAGTTTTAGATATTTATAAATTATTGTGAAACGTAAGCATAAAAATATCAATGTAATGTAGTTTTGAACTAATGTAGTTTTGAAGCATAAAAATATCAATGTAATGCAGTTTTGAATCATAAGAAAATATAATTTGATTAAGTAGTTTAAAACCATGTGAGCTCAGATGTCTTTCCGTTATTGTGTAGTACTATGTTATTTGCGACCATTCTGTATCTTTAACTAATTATTGGGTTCACACACATGTATTGTAGAGAAGTCATATCTCACGTACTTAAAAAGATGATTGAGTGGTTGACACATAAAAAGATTTATAAAACCAATACATAGATGAGTCTAGGTGAACCCAGAATATCATGTTTATCACTTGTGTTGGAAAATTCCTAAACATCATTTGTCTTAGTAACCAATCATTATATTAATTACGTAATATTTTTCCAATTAAATAATTGGCAGAACTATCTCAAGGGCACTGTCAATGTTATAAGACTGATTGAGGTCCTATAGATTTTAGACAGCCGCTTAATTCGGGAGAGGCCGCCGAGGTTCAAGGGACATCAGCTGGATGGAGTAGACCCCACTGATTTTTAGGAGAGCCATATGATGTAGGAATTCCGTCAGTAAGCCCGATCTTCAATTTAGGGGGTGGAGAGAAAGACATGTAATTTTAAGTAGTGTATTCTATTATGCATTGTAACCATTGTATCCAGCTTGATATAAAATGTAGAAGCAAGCTGACGCATTGTTATTCCTGGTAGATAAACGTCTTAAGTACTGAGATAGTAAGCAGAATATACACAACGTGAGTCCTATTACAAATATAACCAGAGACAATACTAGATGATCTCAAGGCTGTTAAGATATGTAGTAAGAAAAGAGTGCATGGATCATACGTAGGATGTGGCGACCGGTTTTTCGGATGCCCGCTTTAAACGTCTGACCGACGACCCTAAAATTGCCAGTAACTGTTTAGCCACAAATTAAGGTTTCGCTAGTATAAATCTGTGCAAAGCTACAACATACAAGAATAATGTCTATTAAATCAAGTATTATGTGCTCGTATATTGTAATTCTGATGGCAATGGATATCCATAAAAATTATCTTGCAGATACAAGACAATATAAACAAGATTAAAGTCGTGACCGATATTTAGCTAAAACAATGTGACGCAGAATAAACTTTTAAATAGTATAAATCTGTTGTGGTAGGATGTAGTCTTCTGCTCTAAATGAGCCAGATAGGACGCGGTGGTACCGAGCACTCAACGTACCATCGGCAACAAAGGGCCGTCAGGGAGCAAAACACGGTATAGTGTGTGCGGGGTGTATTGTTACCGACTCAAAATGGTGTCGTAGGTGCAATTTAATCCTTAGTGTGTTCAGACCTTTAAATATAACTATATATCGTTTGTCTTACATATAATGGCGCTAATCTATAAATAACTAATGCACAGAAATATGTAAAGCAAATCATGCACCTTTAACGTAGTGTATTTTACTTTTTCCTGTTCCGATTCACCAGTTTTACAGTAGCCAATTCGCTGGAGCTGTTGAACAATCCATCGTATAGGTGGAAAGTTACAGCAACAACTATCTCCGTTTCCGTCCAACTTGCAGCAACAGCCACAACATTTCTGAAACAACCATACAATGGCGTCTAAAATGGTCTTGGTACTTGGGATAACGTTAAATGGTGCTGGAACCGGGCAGCCTGGGACTATAAAAGACAGCCACAGTTCTGTTCTGGCAAACTTCCATTCTATATCCCTTTCATCCTGAAATAGTATCAAACACAGAGTATAGGAATTCGTTAAATTGTGATTGACGAAAAAAATAATACTCTGTCCATTACGGAAGAAGTTAAGTATGCAAATCAAACCCCAAAATGTGATACAAAGTCTACATACTTCATTTAGAGCGTCCAACTCTACAAGTTTCCCTAAATAACCCGATAAACACAACCATTCGGTAAAGTTTGTAAACCTTGCCAAGACTGAGACAAATTAGTATTAAAACACAAATTCAGTGGAAAAGGACAAACTGTTAATCCGCTATCGTCTGAGTTACAAACAGTGTTGTCCAGGCATACGATCATTGTTAATCAAGAAGCTCGTCTACAGGCCCATCTAACAACTGGACGTTGCTATTTCTTTGAAAACGTATCACAGACCTTCAGATAGCAGCGGTATTTGACTAAAATCAATGGTTTTAACAGATTTTACACATAATCATCCAATTTTATTCATTACAATATGGTAATACTAATATGCAGGCGACTCTTTCACCCAAGCCATACAACTGAATAGTGATGAAGCCCTCCCCCCCTCCCCAATGACCCACATTGGTAGATATTCAATGTATGTATACCTGAATCTCCTGGAATGTATTTGACATGACGGCAATCAGCAAATTCATCAGAACTACCATTGAGATAAATACATAGGAACTGTAGAGAAAGAATCCGACGGTTTCCACACCGTAGTTTCGTAAAGGATTGTTGGTCAATGAAGCCAAGGGTCCATCCTTCGTTAAACTCGGCGCTGCTGTATCTCCCATACCAATTAAACTCCAAAATAGAGTGTACAAACTTGACCCGAAGCTGAAAAAAATGTGAAACTTTTATCGGTGTGCGCTCTAGTTATAAGGATTTTAAAGTAATTACAGGGCGGAATACATAGATAAACATAGAGCTATGATAAAATATTTTTAAAAATCACGGATTTTTATGACATCAGTTACGGAGGTCGAACTGTAACATTTCCAACTTTTATTGTTATACCTATTAACTAAATGGAAGAATAATAAATATGTTAAAATATCTTACGTTCCAAATGATTCGTTCATACATTTATTTGGAGCATAAAGAGCCGCCATTCCACAGGTAAAGGCAATCATAACTAAAACAAACATTCCCAAAAGCTTAAACAAATCCATCAAAGTTCTGCGGAATGACACCAACATTGTTCCCAGTGCCTCGTTGGCAGGCATAATAAAGGAAAACCTTCCGATACTCAATATAGTACCTATGGTAAACAATATGTCAGAAAGTAGTTCTGGATCCGGTACCCATGATGGTTCCCAGACGACTGAAACAGAAGATAGAAAGCTAGATTATTATTTAATTTTTTAAAAATGTTTTCTGTACATAAAAACAGAATCTTAATCAAATTATACACTATCCAATTAGAGAATTCGGCAACAGCAAACAAAAAAAAAATACACCTGTATTGTTTTAGATCTTCACTAATCGAGTAGGCTTCTCTCTTCTCTGATGTTTCATCTGATCGTACAATCTGACCTTACAAGATCTCCCAGCATATCATCTGTGCTTCCTTAGAATTAGTCCAGAATTTTCGAAAATTTTCCAATCTACTTCTACTTACCCACAGCACCACTTGCTCTACCGACTGAGCAAAATAAAGCCGCATCTTCCTGGCCACCACGTAAGGTCTTGCAAATAGGTGGGAGAGTGGCATTATCACCGGAACCACTAGAGAGAACATGCTGAAGACGGAGCGGAATAACTAATTCAAGCGCAAATGAAGCCAGTAAAAGACTCAACATAGTTGAATCAATACAATTCCATATAGAACTGAAATAATCTGCTGCTCCGGCATCCATTATCTGTTTACATTCTTCCCATATCAAACCTGGAATTAATTGCACAATATTTGTAGATAGTTCATATCGCTACGAGCTTTCTTTTATATTTAAACAGACTGGTGTCCATTCTCAAAGTAACTTCGTGCATGTAGTGTGCTATGACCAAGCTTTTCGCCAAAGGTTCTTCTACGTCCTCCGTCCTGCACCACTGACAAGGGGAGGGGGGGGCATACTGGAAAATCCCAGTGAAAGTTAAAGTTTATTAAACCAATAGATCCTAGATGGTAGGACGGGATGTGATAGGTTTGTACCGAGATGAAAGTAAGATCTGCGGATGGCATTATGTAGATATTTATCGCAAATCTCCAACATATCGATGCTGTATCCTAATTTGCAGGATTTAATGATCTTCTCTGGTAATGGGTTTAACAACAGTCTTCGACACAGTGAGACATGTTGATTCGCTGTGGAAAATATAACATTGCTTATTGTTCATAAATATACGCATTTCACCATTATGTATCATGTTAATCCCCACCCCAGCATCGTTACAAATTTACTTTTCGTTTTAAAAAATATTAATTATGGTCCGGCGTGGTCCCTCCTTGTCAGTGGTGCAGGACCGAGGGCCTGACCAGGGAAAACGTATAGTAGTTCGGATGGACGACAAACTGTCGCCCCGCGTACACATTGACATTCATATAAATGATCCCTTGGCAGTTGGAATTCAATATTAGAGTAGGCCGTATCGCCGCTGTCCGGGCACAATTTCCCCCATAGCACACTGCATGGTATATACTCGTCTTCATTAGCCCAGTCTGGGCAGAACAGTAGGAGTTAAACCCCATTTTATTTCATCAATTAATTAAGGATTCTTTCTCAGATCCCGGTACAGTGTTTACAACGTTGTAATGTTTGTTTAATATTAACAAATGATTTCTTGTTGAAACTAGGTGATGCATAAAACCGGGACATTTATGGCTACTATTAATAGATCGGTATGTCCAAAACAAATATGAAAGCCCCTGACTATTGGACCTTTGGGATTTGAAGAACTCAATTGTAATATCAAATACTATCAACCCGGTGAAATAATTAATTGATGATAGGTTTTTTTGTAGAAATATAAACGTTCGTGAACTAGAGAAAGATGAAAGTTGTCCTGCAGATATATTTAATTACATGTGCGTGTTCCATTATTCTATACATCATCCCGTTAATGTTGTGGTACCCACGTCTTTGGACTTCATTATCTGCTTTTGTGAAAGGAATGAAATGGAATGGGTTTCAGTGTCTTGTTCACAAACATTGGCGTGCATGTAAAAAACGCATTTACAGCTGGAATTCAAAATAAGAGTAGACCATAGCGCCGCTGTCTGGGCAAAATTTCAATTATAGTACACTGTATTCCTGAATTGTCCATTTTTATCCCCGTGCCTGCGCCACACATAGTGTCGTGTTATAAACCCAATTTACCAGTATCAGAACAGGAATAGCCAAAACTTAGTTTTCACAGTTTTTTATTTGAAGGTAAAGAGAGTACCAAAAGGATTTCACACATACTTGAGGCTTACATCTAACAAGACACTGGACGTACAATATTACGGTCACAATTCACAGTATAGTCGAGATATTTAGGATAATACTACAATTTCTTTTTTTTTAATGTCTTTAAGATACCTACCAAGTATCCATAATACCACTAGTATTACAACAGCCAAGGCAAATGGTGCTGGGTCGTCACAGGCAAAACTATCAAATGTGTGCATTAATTCTAGTTTGGTGACCATGACAACCACTAGAAAAGTGAGGTAGGAACAGGTATAACTTAGAAATCTCATTAATGGCGTCTGCAAAATGTTCGACACCTGAAACACAATAAATAAAATAACCGTCTACAATTAATGATCGATGAATTTCTTCGTTATAACAATGTTCCAAAGATATCTGAAACTTAAAGCGATGTTTTCAGTTCGATAAAAAAAAACAACAGAAATTGTTTTGTTGATTTGACCATTGGCATATGCAGGATTTCAGAAAGTGGGGGAAGGGGTGCACAAATTTTGAAAATTATTCAATTTAATGTTATACGGGGTAATATGCGAAATTAAATTTTTCATCAGCATTATGTTTTGTTTTTGTTTTGTTTTTTGTGGGTTTTTTGAACGATGACGTTAATCATTATACAAACAACGGCAATATCATATATTATCAAAAACCAGCAGAGGTCATAAAGTTCTATGCACCTAAATGATCGTTCAATTTGATGAAAGGTATAGATCACTTTGTCATAGTTTATCGTATTCAAATTATACATTGAAACTAAAATGATATAATATGTTACTTTGGAGTTAGGACACTAAATGCTGAGAAAAGCCACCCAATTTATTGTTTCCTGTTTGGTTAGTCGGACAGAATAGTATATTTAAAGATGCATTACGTAAGAACTAAATCTGCCTATTGCTGGTCTTTATTTTGGTTTCAATAGTTACATAAACTATCATTTAGGCCTTTATTTACATGACACGCCCAATAATCAACTCTCGAATGGCTGAGATTGACACGGATTAAATTACGGCCGCTATTTAATGATTTAATTTTAAAATGGCGAAGCTGGGCTAAGTCTCGAATAACAAGTACCGTTGAAATGATAATACACCATCTATGCCACATCTTGTCAAAACTTGGCTCAAAATAAAATAATTTGAATGAAATTTTCAATATATTCATTTGGCATTATCTATTTTTAAACTGCTATAGCAAGACTGGCCAGCTCTTACATAACGCATCTTTAAAGGAGCAATGTCACCGATGGGTTATTGTTATCGAAGTACGTTAAGATAACTTACCCTACTCCACGGGGCTATCAGGTATATAATCGACAATATAGGCACTAATACAACACCTATTGGTATAGATAACATCAAGTAGGAGAATTTATTTAGATATCTTAATGCGGGGACACCACTATACCATAACTCTGTTATCTGAGATTGGCATTGATTGTGGGCTACAAACTGGAAACAAAACAAAGAACATGGTGTTAACTGATTACCAAAAGAAAAATGTCAAATTGATAAAGAAATAGAATAAGAAAATTAATAACTGAAGACACTGTTGTAAAACATGACGTGTCCAATCTGTAATATGAACAACTTAAATCCCGATTTAAATTTAGAGTTTTTAACTTTAGGCTTGATTATTTTGTGTCGTGTGTCAGGAGATTATATGAATGTATATTTTTATTCTAAATTTCTTTATTACTTTACAATAAAAACTTTTAGATCTTATAATCTGACCCAATTAACGATTAACATACAATGATTATAAGAGGTACTTAATTGTCCATGGATTGTGTCTTTAAAATTCGTGAATTACGGGTTAACCAAATCCAAGAAATATCTGGAATAACCCATCAATATATTTTTCTAAACATAATCTATTTGTTTTGTAATAACGAAATGGGTTCATATCTACCTTCTTTTGTTCCATCGTAATAGCTGTGCCCAATAATGGTAATATTTGTTCCCCGTCCTCGCTCTCTGATTGGTCATCAGTACTTTTGATATGTGACCTTCCAGTTAGCAAGGCCTTGACCTCATCTGAACTGAGACACTGCTCCAGCAAAGCCAAGGTATAATTTTGACACTGGTTGTCTAAGTCGTAGTACATTTGCTGAAAAAGTAGCGTAATTAAAACTCTGTTAATAGAATGTTGTCTCTTTTCAAATACATGCATATTTATTATAGTGTAGAGACTCATCCTCGGTGTCCCCAGTGGTCCCATTCCGTTCCACTCCACTAACCCCTGGGTTCATCCATAGGGGAGATACATATTCAAATTATCTGCCCTTAATGACTGTTATTTTTATCGACCAATCAAAAAATCGTTAAATACAAAAGAAGTTGGAGAAGGGAAGTAACTCTTATCTAATGGCAACAAACAAGCCACCATATGGTTGTGGGCGTAAGCAATGGGACTAAGACTTGTTTGTTGACTGTTTTTGATTGTTTCATAGAAACAATCTACTATCAAGGGCAGATAATTTGAATACATAAATACCCAGAGTATGGTGGAGTAAAACGGAATGAGACCACTGGGGATACCGAGGATGGTAGTGGCTGGGGTTAGAATATTAGTCAAGAACCTTTTCAAACGGTTTAAAATGGTTTTAGAGAAGGTGAATGTGTAGAGGTGATGGCATTGGACCCACGACTAACTAGACACAAGAACTTTGTCAAATATATGCTTATTTTAATGGACCCATGACTCATTAGGCGCAAGAGCCTTTTCAATTTATAAGGCTTGATAGGTGCAAGGTCCTCTGATAAGTTTTCGAAGGGTAAAAATTTTGATTGCACGCGAATGATATTAGTTGAGAGGTGTTCTATAATAAAAAATAATTACGAATGAATCAAAATATCGCAGACAAGTATATTAGTATATTCAGGTGCCATTCCTGCTGGAGGAAACCGGGGTACCCGAAGTCAACCTACGAGGCGCCCACACCAGTGATCACGGTCATCGGCCAGCTAGAACTGGAAGCGTGACACTCCAGACCACTCCATCCCGCTCTTTTCAGGAAGTGTAGAAGGTGGCTTACTTTATATTCTCCTTCTAACTCTGCCAATCTTCTGAATTTTTGGCTTAAATTAAACGCAGCCATGATGGGGTCTTTTTCTGTAAGTGACAAATAAGCCGGACTAGCCATAGCTCGAAAAGTGTCCAAACGATTCGTAGTATAAACTTTATAATCCTTCCTTTTTCCTTCCGTACATTCCGAACAGGAACAGAAGTAATCATGGGGTTTGTCTAAAAAGGCTCCTCTTATAATAAACTTTTTAACTATTTGAAAATCATTCTGAACAGCGGCACGAAGCAATCCTTCTTTCAACAGCTTTAGCACAATAGGGTCAACTTCAGGTTCTTCTTCAACTTCATCCAAAATTTTGGCATTAGCATATGCAGGATGCTGTAAAATCTGTTCACATATTCGTTCTCTGTCGGCTTCCGCTGCACAAAGTAATGCCCGATGAACAGCAGTGTCGGATACTGAGTTCAATAAAAAGCTAACTATATCCTCATCTCCAGCTGCAACAGCTAATTCAATGGCTGTTCTTCCGGTTTGATCCACACAGTTAACCGTAACCCTTTCCTCATTTAGCAACCTTTTAATTGTATCAATATCCCCCATCTCCGCGGCTTCCAGGAACAGCCTTTCATCCTCAGAGGTACCGGCCTGGAGCCTTTCATTGATTAGATGTAGAGTATCTCTATTTACAGACCCCATATTGACAGATTAGAAAGTGGATCCGATTAAACTAATAATACTGCAACGATCACAGTTTTAACAATATTGTCTACTTCTTCAATGAATGTTCAAATCACATTTTCTTTCTGAAACATAGAAAAGAAAACATAAAAGCGATTATTTTATTGTCCTTCTGTCAGTCTTACTATTGTAGCCATTCCTTAAATGGTTGTTGCTATAGAGTTAAAGGGAGATGGCCAGATATTCCAGCTGTGTTTAATCCATACATGTCAATTGCAATTTGCCATTGAGGTAAAGGGTGCACTACAGCAAGCACAAACACAGAATATGAATAGGGAAAAACTAACAAGACGATCTTATCGAAGAAGTTACATTTTGATCATTTTTCATTATTTACACAGCGAAGAATTAATTCATTTTCGCTAAAAGTATGCTATTCAGTATAGTCAAAATATGAGAAGAGGGTTGACACCCAGAGAACACAAACCGTTTTTTTTTTGTCTCTTTAAAGGATTCATTTCAGATATATTTCAATTCATAAACTAGAACCCCCTTTCAATTCTCTAAAAAAAAATACCCGATGCTCTGTGGTACATTTTAAAAGAAATATCAAACGTCCAGATGAACCGATCTTGACTAGTGCTCAGCGAAAAAGTGGAGAAAAGCGGCGTTCTAACCCCTATAAATTGTTTTGGCCATCATTTCCTAACAGGTCAACATTGTGAACAGAAACTATCGGACAAAATAAATAAGGAATTTCTGCACATACTTTAACGAACTATTTTGTGGACACGCAATAAAAATATCACTTCTATTTTAGCACCTTTAAATCTAAAAACAAATAACAACAACAAGGGAGAGAGGGAGAGAGAGAGAAATGGGGTTTAACGTCCACTCGACACAAACTAGGTCATTTCGGGACTAACACACGGTTTTTATTTCCATAATTTCCTTGCGCGTAGGGGTCTTTAGCAGTGGGAGGAAGGCGGAGGAAACCGGGGGACCCGGAGAAAAGGCGACCCTACTCCTTGTCACGTACAACCGGGGAATCGAAACCACGCCAGTTGACTCAATGACAGACTTTATGGTAAGGCGCGCACGGGCTAACCATTCAGCCATACTACCCCGCAACAACAAGGAGTTGTTCATTTATAAAGTTAAAGAGAAAAACAGAACATTGCTCTTCTACTTAATACATATATTATGGTCATTGTATTTCAATCATTCGTCTGATAATGTGGGATAACGAGACTATGTCATTAGTAAATTTGCATAAACTTTATTAATGAGGGTACGAAAATAATACGACATATATATAATCAATATTAATTGACATTATTCAATTTGGTTTAGTAATTTTTACACGATATTTTCATTTCAAAATCTTATCTTTTATACGATATGAATTAATAAGAATCTGTAATGGTCCGAACATGTGTGGAAAGAAGGATTGGGTTGGTTTTTTTTATAATAACTATTGCCTGACAAATTGTAACAGAATTTCTTTTGGTGGTATGCATTTCAGTAAGGTTTCCTGCACATCGTGCTAAAAATATGTTATTGTAAAAAGACGCTTGTCTTTATCAATTTATGAGCATATGTTCACTCTACGGTTTGATCATATTTATTATTGAAGTGAAATATGAAATTTTTTAATATAAATTTATAATGAATGTCAATCTCAAAATAGAGGATAAAGAAAAAGAAATGAAATGAAATGAAATGGGGTTTAACGTCCTACTAAAATGAAAAAGAAAAGAAATGTTGTTTTATGGCACGTCAGCACCAACCGAGCTATATGGCGCCAAACATATGTTGAATTTTACGAGACCAATTAAAACAACATCACAGAAATGTATTTATATATGTAAATAAAATGGACACATATATCTTAATTCATATATGCCCCTGTCTCCCTTTTATGTTTGGATCAAAGACCAAATGTTGTTTTATGAGACTGTAAGAGTATATCTGACAATTTAAAAAAGTAATTGAATGTCATTAGATAAGAGAAAACGAGAAAAATAGAAACAGTCCGTACATTTACGTGTGTTTATTCATTCTATACTTACAAAAACATGGTAATGCACAGACTTTTTTTCTTTTTCTTTCATATTCTCTTATCTAGTGACGGTCAATTTTTTTTATGAATTGTCAGATATCCTTTCACAGTAATTGAATGTCATTAGATAAGAGAAAACGAGAAAAATAGAAACAGTCCGTACATTTACGTGTGTTTATTCATTCTATACTTACAAAAACATGGTAATGCACAGACTTTTTTTCTTTTTCTTTCATATTCTCTTATCTAGTGACGGTCAATTTTTTTTATGAATTGTCAGATATCCTTTCACAGTAATTGAATGTCATTAGATAAGAGAACACGAGAAAAATAGAAACAGTCCGTACATTTACGTGTGTTTATTCATTCTATACTTACAAAAACATGGTAATGCACAGACTTTTTTTCTTTTTCTTTCATATTCTCTTATCTAGTGACGGTCAATTTTTTTTATGAATTGTCAGATATCCTTTCACAGTCTCACACAACAACTTTTGATCTTCGAAGGAATTATTAGTGAGCAGAAATTCACCCATGTATCTGTTATCACCTGTCACTTCAGTTAGTTATATAGAGGGACAACTCATGTTTTCATTTTGCGTTCGTCACTTCCGATTGGTGAAAGATTGATTATGCATCTATCGTAGCAATGATCTCTGTGATAAAATAATATTTGGAACGTGTTTAACCAGTTCTATCACATATGTGATAATGACTGGCACCAATATTGTCCTTTAACGAACAGGTAGACACCTGTCATAATAATATTTTACAGACTGGGCGTTTTGGTCACTCTAACCCAGTGATTCTTAACCGAGAAGATAAGAGGAAGGTTCTGGGTGATCGAGACTACCACCCTCCTCGTCCCATACCGGGAAGATAAGTGGGTAGCCAGTCATAGAATTAAGTATCTGGATTTAATGCTTACAGATAAGGAAATTTTGCTTGCATTAGGGAGTCCGTTTCTGACTCATCCGATTCTATGGACGCGTTTCTCTCCTTTACATTCTGTTGCGCGGAAGGAGCTTTTTCTTTTCTTAAAATGACCATTTTAGCTATTCAGAACGCTATTTGATTATGTCCAAAAAGCAGATCGAATGTACATTCACTGGATTCAGTTGTGCACTTAATCCTGATTTATTTATGGAGATGTATTTATTTAAGCGACAATTCAAATTTATATTATTATAGTTACTAATGCGTTAACTACAGAACTAGTCTTTAAAGGAGTTACATAATCAATAATAATATAACAAATGATAAGCACACAATATATACAGTCTATAGCACGTGATTCTATTCATCAAATCAGTGTGCATCGTGAGATCATATAAATAATCATAATACTGATTATATTTATATTATATTTCAGATATAGTTTATGAGAACTTTCTATTTATATTTGTAAATATAGAACTAGATCTAAAAATACATCAACGTTGTATAATTAAAACACAATATTATTTGGCTCATTAAAAAATTGTTTCCATTACATCTATGTAATTTCATTACTTATTTCGATTACATGTTCAGAATAGCTTTTGTGCTTTTGTAATACCGTTTAATGTATTTATTTTCATGTAAATTACTGCATTACTGTTCTTGTCACAAGCTATTGATTAATAAATAAAACCCACCTTAATCATAATCACCAGTGATCTAGCGATTTTCTTAAGCAGTGCTTCCGGTATATATTGCACGCTTATGCGTACTAATAATAATGATACTACTACATATACTATTCAAAAAAAGTAGGGGATATTTGATTTTGGGGGCATAATACTAAAATATGCAAATGACTACGAAAAAAGTCACTATAGAACCTAACAGAAGAAACATTTCAAGTTACATGTGACGCCCAAACGCACCAATAGCTACCGCATGGAATGCAGGTGATGCTTGGGATCATCATGGGGGTCCAACCCAAGATTTGCACGACTCTGACTTTGAATGTTACAGTCATTGTGGCATTGAATTCCAGGGTGGAAACATCAGTTTAATTGTTTTAGTGACCAGAAAACAAATTTTGATATGCGTCGGCTTACCCAAAATGAAAGGTTACGTGCCCTTGGCATGCTACAGATCGGCACAACACAGGCGGTTGTGGCGCGGACGATGAATGTTTCTCAGTCTGTCATAAGCAGGCTATGGTCCAGATACCGTGATACACAATCTGTACAGGACAGACCACGCTCAGGTCGACCAAGGGCGACAACTCAAGCCCAGGATCGATTTATCCGTACCTTGGCCTTGAGAAATCGTGTCATCACAGCAAATCAGATCAGCGCTCGTCTTCAAACAGACACTGGTGTGAGAGTGAGTGGCCAGACGATTCCGAATCGACCGCATAGCGGTCACCTTCGCGCCCGACGTCCTCGCGTGATCCCTTGTTTGAGAGATCATCATATTCAGGCACGACGTCGTTGGTGTAGGGATCGTCAACACTGGGATAATCGACGCTGGAGCAATGTGATGTTTTCAGATGAGTCAAAGTTCACTGTTGATTTTTTGGACAGACGTAGGAGGGTGTGGCGTCGTCGAAACGAGCGCTTCCAAGACGTTAACGTCATCAGACATGATCGATTTGGGGGTGGTTCTGTTATGGTGTGGGGAGGCATCACTGTTGCTGGAAGAACGGCTTTACATGTTGTTGCAGGGCGTGTTACAGGCCAGTACTACCGGGACAACATCTTGGCAGTCCATGTTGTGCCGTTCGCACGACGTCATGGCCGCCGTTTCATCTTCCAGGATGACAACGCAAGATGTCACAGGGCCAGGATCGTTACAGGTTACCTCCAACAACAGAACATCACCACATTACCTTGGCCAGCACTGAGTCCCGACCTCTCCCCCATCGAGCATGTCTGGGACATGCTTGGACAGAGGTTACGTCAACGTCAACAACGTCCTGCCAATGTCCAAGAACTTGCTGCTGCGTTGCAACAGGAATTGGACAATCTGGACCAAAATGACCTTAGACGTCTCATTAGGAGTATGCCACGTCGGATCAATGCTTGTTTGGCAAACAGAGGAGGATTTACCCGTTACTGACTTGGTTGTGATGCTGTGGTAACTTTGCTGTTTGACCCCGGGTATCATTTTACCCTTACAATGGTCAGTCTGTGCCTTACTTAGTCTAACGATCATTTGGAATAAATCGATGAATGTGAACTTCATTTCATTTTGTCATTTGTTTCTTCGTCAGTTTCATTAGGTGACTTTAATAACACTTAAAAATCAAATATCTCCTACTTTTTTTGAATAGTATATATTAGTAATGATATTATACATAATACTACTTATTATACATAATACTACTTATTATACATAATACTACTTATTATAATAATAATCTACTACTAATATTAATAATGATACTACTATATATAATAGTAATGATATTATACATTAAACTACTTATAACAATAATAATCTACTACTTATAATAATAATGATACTACTATATATAATAGTAATGATATTATACATTAAACTACTTATAACAATAATAATCTACTACTTATAATAATAATGATACTACTACATATAATAGTAATGATAATACTAACAATGATTCTAATAATACTTCTACTAATACTACTACTACTACTACTACTACCAATAATAATCTACTACTTATAATAATAATGATACTACTACTAATACTAACAATGATTCTACTAATACTACTACCAACGATACTACTACCTATAATAATAATGACACTACTAATGCTAACAATGATTCTACTAATACTACTACTAACGATACTACTACCTATAATAATAATGATACTACTATATATAATAATACTGATACTATACATACAACTACTAATAATAATGAAACAATTATTTATTTTTTTACTAAACCAAATGTCCTTTTATACTGTTGTACAGGTATTTAATTTGATTTTTTGGTTAAAGCAATTCAGGGATTGGGCTGGCCGAAATAAATCCAGATAGACTTAAAAAACGATTAACTTGACAAAAATCTATTAAGGAATCGGATTAACTGAGTAAATAAAAACCTGAATCCTGCACTCATCTTTTTGAATACTGATAGATCTTTCGTAGGTTTTGTATAATTAACATAAATTATCTATGGTTGAAATGAAATTGGGTTTAATGTCCTTTCTTTTTCCACCGGCCGGACATATCCCGATTTCAAATTCGTGTTTTTGCTTGAACTGTTGACAGGGGAATACAAGATAAAGAAATTTCAAATTTTGTTTAATGAGGCTCGTTACAGTGTGCTTTGGTGAACAAACAGCATTTAATGCCATCATCGTCCAAAGTAAATTAAGTTAAGCAGTTGACATGTATGGTTTGGGTTTCTGGCGAAAAGACCTAAATCCACAATCACGGGCATAGTTTATAGCCTCATCTCTGTTAAAACGCAGAACTTTTAGCATCAGAAAAAAGATTAGGAATTTAATTAAATTGTTATATTTTTTTCACCCTGAAATCTTCCGTCAATGTGCAACATATGTTTATTGTTTACTATTAAAATCAATATATATTATTTATTTTATTTCATATTTTAAATGTTTTTATTATAGAGGCTGAATAGGTCTAGATGACGACTGTAACACAACGGGTTTTTTTCGGATGTAATGATATGTCTCTGATGATTAATCACACGTTTCTCTGATGACTAATCACACTATTCTCATAGTTTATGACAAGTTTCTCATAGTTAATCACACGTTTCTCATATTTAATCACACGTTTCTCATATTTAATAACAAGTTTCTCAGTTATTCACGTTTCTCATGGCCCGTTTCTTATAGTTAATCATTGGTTTCTCATAGTTAATCACACGTTTCTAATAGTTAATAACAAGTTTCTCATAGTTAATCACACGTTTCTAGTGGTTAATTACGCGTTTCTCATAGTTAATCACACGTTTCTCATAGTTAATCATTGGTTTCTCATAGTTAATCACACGTTTCTCATAGTTAATCACACGTTTCTCATGGTTAATTACACGTTTCTCATAGTTAATCACACGTTTCTCATAGTTAATCACACGTTTCTCATAGTTAATCACACGTTTCTGATGATTAAACACGTATTTCTGGTGGCGAATCGCACGTTATTGATAATTAATTACATTACATCAAAGGATTTAATGCACCATACACAAGAAATAACAGATTTCTACCATAATATATACACCCTTGAAGAATTAATATGCCTAAAATTACTAGGGTGTCCTTTGTACTAGATGGCAAGCATTCCACGAAGGGCAGACAATTTTATTGATTTTGGGTTCAGATAAACGAAATTAATAACCTCGAACACTGGTATATTTTATATGCTAATGGCTTGATTTTCTTTAACTTCAAGTTGTATGTGCTACCTGTATATATTGTTTGTGTTCTATTTGGAGTTAAGCAGTTATACAATAGATCTCGCGAAGGTGCAGTGCAAATTGCGATTGATTATTGCAACATGTGTTGGTTTTAACACCCAAGCCTTTTATGCAGATCTTTCATTTAACCGAGTTATTGTATAAGGTTTGAATATTCCTTTTAGTCATGGAGTTCTATAAAGACGGATCAGGTATTAAGATTTGAAATGAAATGAAATGGGGTTTAACGTCCTACTGTTCTGCTCAGACGGGGCTAATGATGACGGGCATACGCCAAACAGTGTGCAATGAGAGAAATTTTGCCTGGGCAGCGGCAATATGCCCTACTCTTATATCTGATTCCAAGTGCCAAGGGATATTTTACGTGCACGCCAATGTATACGGTTCCCATCCGAACGTCTAGACAGCTGTTCTTGTCAGGCCCTCCGTCCTACATCACTGACAAGGGGAAACCACGCCGGAAAATCACGATAAACTTTCTCGGTCACTGCAGTATTATGATTTATAGTTAGGACAAGAAGAAAGGTTCAAAATATTATTTAACATTCCACTGATCTTGATGCAGACTTTTCCACAAAATGAAATAAAATTCCACTAATTTTTTTCAAAGATACCAAATATAAACGAAATAGAATTCTAATTAATTTTTTAGCAACTATTACTTACCTTTGATGAGAGAATAATTTCCCTGGCTAAAAAATAAAATGAATTCCAATCAATCACGTTCCTTTGTAGAGGTTGATTATATTCAAAGTCACACAACAAATGAATAGGTACTATGAATATCTACCGTTATAATATTGATTGAGATCGTTGGTTAATTCATAGTCAATGTTTGCCCACTTTTACAACAGTCTTTTTAACCCTTTCTCTCACGTTAAATGTCTGTCACTTTCAATAGATTATCTAATCGTCATAATATATTATCGTGTTCATTAATTGTAACAATTAGTTAATTGATGTACCAATTATAGACTACAAGAGCGGCTACATTCATCAAACCATTTTGTTAGACCTTATCACGAATGATATAAACCTACATCTGGTGGTACCAATGAACGTTGGACTATTTTAATGTCATACGTATGCCATTCTGTATAATCATTGTCTAATCAATTCCTAGAGTACAGTTTTACCACTTTTTAATACTTCTGTTGGTTTTCACATTATTGTCAAAATCTCACAAATCATTTCATGTGGTTAATTTAGTCTTAAAGGGTTTAATACAGTAATGTTATAAACACAGTTCGTTGGTTAATGTAAGCGAAATCCATAATTATGTACGGAGTGAGTAATATATAACAGATTCACGGTTGATTAAACAAAATATAAACCAATCTGAATATGTAAATTCTAATGTAGACACCAGTCTAATCTAGGAAGTTTGAACATTCATATTGTACCTCACCTCTCCATTTCTATGGACGCCTTTAGCCTTTCTCCGGACATATTTCACGACCTGCCATTTCAAGCTTTCAATCTTTTCCTCCCTAGTTCACAATGCTTCTAGTCTAGATTTAACAGTTTTTAGATATTTAACGAGAATTAGTAGGCACCAGATATAAAAGTAGAACGTTGTTTAAAACTTTATCACATCGCCAACTGTTGAAACGCTTACTATAATCGATATGCTAAACGTTTATTGACTCGCCTTCATTAACATACCATTTAAAGAGACACTTGCAGGTGTAGAAAATATAAAACAGGCGAAACGATCTTTCAAATATAAATAGAAACAGTTTTAACATAATCAAATATGCATAGTAATGGTATCTAATCTTAGTATGAACAGAAAAGTGTCGGTATAAATATCCTCCCGCTGCATCTTTATAAACCATTCTATTGCCAGAACGCATTGTTTCCTCGGGTACATTTTCGGAGCATTACACAATCCTGGTATCGTTTCCTCGATTTTTCGAAGAATACGTAGGTTTAGATATATGCATCCTTCACAGCAGATGAAGGTGTAATAAATTATGTTATTGCCAAGACTGGATATTGTGCTCGAGTAAACCAAAATAATATTAAATATAGTCGTACTATTCATTATGAAATCGCACTTCATATTGTGCAAGGGAAGTAATAAGATTTTGAATTGGGTTAATTGCCAACTTAATCCGAGTGTCCAAAGGATTTGCATTAGGGCCACGGCTTACATTTTTATACGCCCACATTTTCATGTGGACGTATATTGTCGTCGCCCCCGTCCGTCCGTCCGGACGTCCGTCCACAATTGTTTGTGAACAGTCTACAGGTCACAATTTTTATCCGATTTCAATGAAACTTAAAATATAGCTTTATCACCCTAAGATCTCGGTTCCTTTCCATATTGGCATGTATCGGACTGTAACTTCATGGATTATGGCCCCTGATTGTACGAAAAATCACGTTTTTAGCTTGTGAACACTGTAGAGGTCACAATTTTTATCCGATTTAAAAAAAAGTATTATATCACCGTTACACCCTAAGGACAACTGAGTTCGAATTTCGTGAAAATCGGCCCAAAACTGACAGACAAAATGGCCACCCCTCGTTCTCAAATAGCGTAAAAATATGGTATATCAAGGTTGTGGACCCTATAGAGGTCATAATTTTTATCCGATGTTTTTGAAACTTGAAATGTAAGTTTATAACCCAAAGATCATGGTTCCTCTCGATATTCGCGCATATCGGACCGTAATTTCCTGAATTATGGCCCCTGATTGTACGAAAAATCGTGTTTTTAGCTTGTGGACCCTATAGAAGTCATAATTTTTTATCCGATTTAAAAAAACGTATTATTATAACACCGTTACACCCTAAGGACGGTTAAGTTCGAATTTCGTGAGAATCGGCCGAAAACTGACAGACAAAATGGCCGCCCTTCGTTTTGAAATATATTAAAAATATGGTATATCAAGGTTGTGAACCCTATAGAGGTCACAATTTTAATCCTATTTTGATGAAACTTGAAATGTAAGTTTATAACCCAAAGATCTCGGTTCCTTTCGATATTCGCGCATATCGGAACGTAACTTCCTGAATTTTGGCCCCTGATTGTACAAAAAAATCGCAATTTTAGCTTGTGGACCCCATAGAGGTCATAATTTTTATCCGATTTAAAAAACCGTATTATTATATCACCGTTAGTAACTGGACCTATAGAGGTCACAATCTTTATCCGATTATGTTGAAACTTGAAATGTAAGTTTATAACCCAAAGATCTCGGTTCCTTTCAATATTCGCGCATATCGGACCGTAACTTCCTGAATTATGGCCTCTGATTGTACGAAAAATCACTTTCTTTTTAGCTTGTTCTCTATCCATCTCTCGAAAATGTGGGCGTATCCTGTCTGGCAGCCGCTGGTATAAGGTCTGAGAATGCTTTACATCATTTCATTATACTACATTGTTTGTGATATCGGGTGTCTCAATAAACTTATGCCCCCGAGTCCCAATCCGAATAACCACAGGATTTGTAATCAGGGCCACGGATTCACATTATATTAGGCCTGTGTCTGAGATTGCTTAATATAATTTCATTATAAATTGATTGTGATATCTGGTGCCTCAATAACCTTACGCCCCGAGTCCTATCCGAATACCCAAAGGGTTTATATTAGGACCACGGCTTCACGTTATATATTTAAAATACTTTAAATCATTTCATTAAAAATTGATTGCGATATCAGGTGTCTCTAGAAACTTATCATTTCAGCTGTATCACAATCGTATTTTATTTCTTACATTTTTAAAGCGGATTCACATGTTACCAGAATTATTTGATATTTCTCTATTGAAAGTTTTTGTTATCTAATAACAGTTTTTAGAGAGCAACTGGGACCTCATCACCCTTATCCTTTGACAAAATTCATTTTTCAATAAAAATTGTTCACGCATTCCATCATTTTGCAAACAGAATAAACCCACAGTCGGATTTAGTGAACTGACTGATTAGGTCGCCGCTTTAAGCTGCTGACCGAATTTTTCTCTTTACCTTTGAAAAGGCTAAAGTTTATAATGACCATACGACTGCTTATATTTACTGTCTTTATACGCCATGTTATGTTTGCTCGCTTAGTAAGACATCGGATACAGAAATAAGGCCTACATGTTTAACTCCCCTTCATCTTCTTGATTCGGTGTTTCTCTCATGACCGTGGACATTTCGTTAATCATGTCACTGGAACTTTTGTAATTCATACCTACTGGAACAATAGGGCGCTATTGCACTTTCGTACCTCTACCAGTTCCCGTGGTCATAGGCACTTGAAATTTTCAGAGGATGTTAAGGGGGGCTAGCAATGACCACACACCAAATTTCAGCCAAATCGATAAATAACTTTTTATTTTACCGACCTTTTAATTTCTAACGAGAGAGAACTTCATCCGTTTGACGCCATTTGCTTTGTTTACTAATTAGACTTGAATAACAAGACACTAAGACGGAAACCGACTCGAATAACAAGACACTTAGACGGAAACCGACACACTGCACTAGCTGCCTAACACTGCAGTTCATAAAAATTAATATAATTTTCGTACATTTTAATTTTTGCGCGAAGCCACCATTTTCTATAAAATACTATTTGGTGTTGATCAGTGGATTGGCCTTTAGGTGTAAATATTGCCGTGACCTTGATTTTGACCTTAAGGCCAAACTTCCCATCCATATCGGGGCCTTTGCGTTTATGCTTGCCGTGGCCTTATTTCTTACTGTATTATCAAAGTTAATGTTCGAGGTGAAAGCAGAGATGACGTCCTTCAGAAAAGATAATTGGGTCAAAGTCGTAGGTCAAGGTCATGTTACAGAAAACTAAACTCAAATTTTTCAAAGTCATTTTTGGGACATTTGACCTTGACTTACGACCTTGACCCCGTAACCATTTTCGAAGGTTATCACATTGGCTTGAATCATGAACGTTTAACTTGGTCCTGTCGCACACTGCTCGGTCAGAAAACGGTCAAACGCAGAGGGTCCGTGTCCGAAAGGAAGTCAATGGGCGTGGTCAATGTGAAAGGTCGTGGTGACCTCCACTAGTCACCGTTAACCATCCGTAACCTTGACTCTGACCTTGAGTCCAAACGTCCCATCCATCTCGGGCCCTTTGCGTTTATGCTTGCCGTGGCCTTATTTCTAACTGTATTATCAAAGTTAATGTTCGAGGTGAAAGCAGAGACGACGTCCTTCAGAAAAGATACTTGGGTCAAAGTCGTAGGTCAAGGTCATCTTACAGAAAACTAAACTCGGACTTTTCAAAGTCAGTTTTTGGACATTTGACCTTGACTTACGACCTTGACCTCGTAACCATTTTCGAAGGCTATCACCTTGGCTTGAACCATCGACGTTTACTTTGGTCCTGTCGCACACTGTTCGGTCAGAAAAGGGTCAAACGCAAAGGGCCCGTGTCCGAAAGGAAGTCAATGGGCGTGGTCAATGTGAAATGTCGTGGTGACCTCCACTAGTCACCTTTAATCATACAGTAAGAAATAAGGCCACGGCAATCATAAACGCAAAGGCCCTGATATGGATGAGAAGTTAAGACTCAAGGTCAAAATCAAGGTCACGGCAATATTTACACCTAAAGGCCAATCCACTGATCAACACCAAATAGTATTTTATAGAACATGGTGGCTTCGCGCAAAAATTAAAGTGTACGAAAATTATATTAATTTTTATGAACTGCAGAGATAGGCAGCTAGTGCAGTGTGTCGGTTTCCGTCTTAGTGTCTTGTTATTCGAGTCAAAATAGTAAACAAAGCAAATGGCGTCAAACAGATGAAGTTCTCTCTCGTTAGAAATTAAAAGGTCAGTAAAATAAAAAGTTATTGATCGATTCGGTGTGTGGTCATTGCTAGTCCCCCTTAACATCCTCTAATAATTTCAAGTTCCTACGACCACGGGAACTGGTAGAGGTACGAAAGTGCAATAGCGCCAACAATAGTTTATTGGCGCAATACATTTTGTGTATAATATAATTGGTTTTAACAAGAGAAAAAAAAAGATTGAACGTGGAATTTACTATTTCAAATCAAACAAACCATGAAAACAGTTAAATTTACAAATGAACGGTGCAATCACACGTGGACAGTTTCAAGGGAGGCAACTCTATTTTATCAACTGGAAGCAGACCACCATTAATTTCCACATTGACTTCAATGTTAATTTTGTCCTCGTTGCCCACCTCCAACTTTTCCCAAAATTTTCGTTGGGCTGAATGTTTTTCACTGCAGACAGACTAACAAATGGTCATGTGTTTGCACTAAAATGTGTATGAGGTTGACCACCAAAATTTTGAGGTACAAAAACTTGAAGAAGCATACTAAAAACTAGTTGCCGTACATATCACCGTAGCCAACCAGATATCCCCGTTATCCTTTAGCCTCAAAATCATGAATATTTACCAAAACCTGGCAGAAAATGTTAATTCAAACCCTCTTCGTCCATTCTAGACCAAAAAATCAACAAAAAATCAGTAAAAGGCGGGGGGGGGGGCATAAATAGACGAACTATAATTTGTACCGAGATGGTGAAATTTAATGGTGGTCTGTCTCCAACTCATTATTTTAGCCAAATATACTCTTCAAAAAAAGTAGGGATATTG